ACTCTGTTTTGGTCTTCCTTATACATATATATATATATATATATATATATATATGTATGTATTGTATTAAACAATGTAAAAAAAATGGATTCACAAAGGAGTCATAATGAGCCTATGACTAATTAATTTTGCATCCTTATCTGAATATTTCATGTAACTTTTATGCAACGTTTAAACTGTTGCACGTGTTGCGTTTTACTTGACTTATATTTCACCGAACAGGAACTGCTGTTTCTTTGGTGTTGTGTAAACAATGATCATGATTGTGTAAGCTGCTACCATCATAGCTTGGAAGTGGCGGTTTCCACGCAGAATTGTGCGCTGTATTTGTCTAGTTCTCTGTATATTTACCGTCCATCCTCGGTATTGTAAAGCATAACATTGATGCAGCACATGGATTCGTAAGGCTAAATAACTCAAGACAGAAGACTTTCTCTTGTTTAGTTTGGAGTTTGCCCATCGTCGGCAAAAGAAGGGATATAGCTAATAATTCACCTACTTACTTTTCTAGTTGCTCATTTTTGGTTTCTAAAACAAGCACGTCGTCATGACAATTCTCTCCACCCCTTTTATTTCCTGCAGGCATGGTCGGTGGGACGCGATTGCTGATGGTTTGAACTGCTTCTGCATCCAAGAGAATGCTACCAGGCAGATGAATGAAGGGCAAGACCCTTGCCGGCAGAACACGGCTTCCGATAATGACCTAAAACCGTTCAGAATTATATACACTAATAAGTCGTCCGATTTGTCCAAACTCAATGGGAAGTTGGCCCAACCTTCTAACAAGCACGGTGAGGTCGCAGGTAGACCTACTGAGGGCCTGAGTGGTGCGGCAGATCGATTTAACCCTACCGTAGTGGCGGTGTCCGACAACGTGGAGGATATACTAAAGGACTGGGTGCTGATCCTCAAGGCAGGCCTCACAGCGAATAACGGCAGAGCCGCGCTCTCTTTCGACAGTAAGGGTGATGGCGATCACCAAGCCTGGAGGCTTGAGCTTTTTATAGAAAAAGTATGGAAGCCCCTGTACACCAATATACAAGGGATGCTCTCTCACAGGTCGGCAGAGGTCACGCATGGGGGGGGTGAAAAGGAATCCCCTCATCGTAGCAAACGGGAAATGGGGGCACTGCCTCCCTTGGCTCAGGGTTCTCTTACGCCGAAGATGGACATGGGTGCTACTACGGGGTCGGCATCTATTGCCAGCACATCTGAAGTTAACCCACATGACGCCACGGTATTGGGCAACACTGGCCAAACTTGCTCGTCCTTTTACGACGTGTATGATGTAGTTATTTTGCGTCTATGGGATCTCTGGGAGTGGCGGGACCCGCAGCATACGGCGCTTGTTCTCCTAGCGCTGATACTTGGTGGGGTCTTGTACGGCAGTGCCTACCTATGCAACAGCGCCGCTACGGGCCTAGTGCTGCTCTTCCTATCCATACCGTTGACTAGTGAACAGAGGTGGCGTCTTCGTGAGGCCCCAAAGACAATTCATGATGGACCTTCACACGTATTATCACCGTCTGTGAGCACCTTAGTATCAGGAGACCAGAAAGTACGGAGCTGGGCCGAGTCTTACATCGCGTGCGACGCCAACAGGATGCGGCTTCTAGCCAACTTTTTCTCTCTACCAAGCAAGTCTTTTACGCAGGGTGCATTAAAGGCAAATCCTGAATCCTCTTCCAACTCCGGAATCGCTCAAAAGGATAACAAGCAGTCACAAGTGCAAAAAATAGCTCAACAAATCGGACTTCCCTCTCGAAATGCAGCAGCCATTGAAAAGCTCTTGCAAAGCTATTTTGGAAGGATTTTCCTGGTATACGTGCTGATGCAACTCCTACTTGGTGTGTTTCTCCCCTATTATTCCATCAGTCTCACATTGGACACGCTTGTCGCACCTCTGGTGGGGGCTTCAATGCTGATCACCGGCCTCAGTCGACTCCGACCTACGTTGTTTGCGGCACTGAAGAGGGCCCAAACCAAAGCATATGCCGAAGGGTGGCTTCCAAAGCCGATGGAGAAGGCGAATCCGGTTGTGAATAAGGCCCAAAGTCCGGCTGAAGCACCTTGCGATACCAAACCACTCGATACAAGTTCAGTCTTCCCTCAAGCGATTACCAAGCCTCCCCCCCTGGCGATACCGTCGGGAAAAGAATGCCCTTCAGAGGAGAAAGCAACCGACCCCCCCTCCCAGCCGCACTCGAGTACGGCATCCGGACCTATCAGGGAGACTAGCACCAAAAGCAGAGATCAAACACATTTATACTGCCTGCCGGCTCTCACCGACAAGGAGACTGCGATTGTGGAACAGCTTACCAACTACGGTGCTCCCTTCTCTATGGTTTTGCTGAAGCCGATACGTGAGTGGAATCAGGAGTCCGGATGGTCTCTCCAGTGGGAGCGGAGAGGTCTGCGCTGCGAGGAGCGGCTACTTGGTGGAGGGAGCGGCGACGGCTTTAACAGAGATGGCATAGCCATGCGCTTTACGGCGAGAATCCCAAACGCGAACGTGGGGACGTTCCAGGCCGTGCTGTTAGACGACCCTGACTTCCTCGACACCAAGGACACCTTTGCGTATCAGTACACGCCTTTGTTGACGCAAAATTGCGTGGTAAAGCGCCTAGGCTATAACTTGATGATCCTCCTCTCGCGCTACCGCTCCCCCATTCACGAGGAGCCGCCACTGGAGCTGCTGCGCTACCTCAGCCCCTCCATCTTGTTGGACCCTGACCAACAAGAGGCACTGCGGTTGCGCCGACCGTACGTTCCTTCTACTTTCTCGAGCGCGAACCCCATTGATGGGGGTTACAACGCGACTGCCAAGGCGTGTGGGGGGGTTTCCAAGGAAGGGAAGCCTCTGATGGCTTTTGTTCAGTGCGGGATCCCATGCCCGCAGGAGCTGCACCCCACTCCACCCTGCCAGCCCCCTCACTGCCGCGGCCCCACGGAGATGTTCGCCATCCTCGGCCTCGAAGAGGTGGATGGCTCCCTAACGATGGGCCTCTGCACCAGTTTCAAAGGGGCGGATGTGTATTCGGTCAAGTGGGCGCCTGTGTTCCGCTCGGTCATGGAGCGGAAGGCGTTCTACCTCGCGGAGCTGCTCAAGCGCGTGGGCCCCATGCCAAACCAACTCGCCGTCTACCGAAACGAACGCTACTTTCAGCCGTTTCTGAAACGACAGCCGTTGTCGCAGGTGGAGACGTCATCGACGTTGTTGACCGAAAAGCAATCGGGATCGACGCCGAATCCCATGATGGGAAGCGCCTTCCTAACGGCCGACTTGAAGCTATCCAATGTGCCCCCTGGGACCCTCATCCAGCGGACCTCAAGCGCCAAAAACCTCCCCAACTCCAGCGGCACCATTTCCCGCACCCTTTCCTTAATGGGTTCCGTCAGCAAGGTGGCTCTGACGTCCGCGAGCGAGGTGTCCGTGATGGAGCGGAGACCATGGCCGCACCTCGTGGAGCGCTTTGTAAAAGAACTTCTCACCGCCACGACTTGGAGGCGGGAGGGCGGGAGTGAGCATGTGGTGTTATACACCGGCCTCACTCTCTTCACCGCGGCGAAAGCGTATTGCACCGTCACCTTCGCGGCGGACGCCAAGCTCAGCGTGGCGGAGAATGTGATCCATCTGAACCAATTCGCGCACGACCGCGACATCCACGCCAAGCGTCAGATCACCATCACCTCAAGGACGCTGGAGGAGCTCCTCGTGGATGCCGCCCCGGAAGTCGATGCGGGTGGGGTGGAAGCGGGAGGGGGAGGGGGAGGGGGAGGGCGAAAAGGACCCTCTCCGCGCCCCGATTTCGTGCGGGAGGCGTACCACGGCTTCACCCTCCGTTTTACGCAATTCCACCACGAGACGTGGGGCCTCCCTGCCGTCGACACCGTTACGCGTGTGGGGGAGCCGTATTACTGCCTGGCGAAGGACGCCCTCGCCACCCTGCTGAGCCCGGCTGCGCTCACGGAAGGGCCCCTTGCGGGGTTGGCAGGGCTCCCAGAGGAGACGAAAATGCTCTTCTGCTGTGGCGAGGACGCCAGTGGGGTGCTGCCGGAGATGACGAACTCCACCCGTAGCCGGATGTTTCTCTTTGGGCATCTGTGTTGGGAAGGGGCGGGTGGAGGGATCCACCTCCTTCACTGCTGGGTGAGTGACCTTAGCACGCTCATCCCCGCGGTGTCGGCCGCGGATATCGTGCGATCCCACCTCCGCGTGATCGAACTTCAGCGGGAGCAGATCATGCGAATGAGCCGGGAGGGAGCCAACGGGGAGTGAGAGCTCGGCGTCGCCAGGCAACCAATAGATATTGTGTGGAGTGTATGTATCAAAACCGCCGTCGGGAACATGTGGTTATTTTTCTATGAGAGGCAAGGGATGGTCCTGAGCATAGAAGTATAATTTTTTTCTTTTTTGTCCACGCCTCTCGGTACTTGATGTTCAAGATCTGTTCTTGCTTGCCTAATTTTTTTCTCTCTATTTGCTCGGGTGTTGAAGTATATCCCTATGTGCAACCCTTTATAGACTGACGGACATTCCGTTATCAATACCAAATAGAAGGGAACATGTATAGGTCAGGATTTGAATTCCCATTTTTATGACATTTTCCGTATAGACTCTGTCATTAGTGTCATAATCGCATTGGTCTCTGCAGTTTTTTCGATATAAATTCCGTCCTCATGTGTGTTTGAATGAACTTCGGGGAAAGAGGTAAGAGTGATTTTTTGGTTATTTGGGTATACCTAAAAATTCTACACAACATATTTCGCTATTACTTCCTGCTTGTGGTTCGATTCTGATTACGTGAGATTTTCTAAATGGAAACGGATTATTGGCTCAAATTTCTGTGTTCCTTTGAGATTCATTTGGTTTCCTACCCCCGTTTGCTTTAACTCTTCTATACTCGATTGCTGAGGGGAAAATTTCCTAAAGAAATAAATCCAGACTAGCAGTAAGCAGCAAAGGTCGATAAAGTAGTCAAGGATAATAAATAATAAAAGGTTACATAATATTTTTTCCGCAAAGAAAAACATTCCCCTGATCCTTCCCATAATTGCTTTTCTTAGTATCGGAACCTTAAGAAACAGTTAACTTTGTTTCTTCTGTTATAAAAAGGGAAAAAGTGACAGCAATTAGGAGCGCCAAGCTGTATATCGACCATACATTGCACATAACAACATAGAAAAAAACCATAAAAAGATAAAGTAGGAAAGATACATAGATTTTTATTTCCTCATAGGCTATAGAAGTTTTACGTAGAAGAAAGCGTCATGTGGCGGCACAAGTGGGCAGATTTGTTTTTTTTCTAGACTGTTTGTTCATTTAGACGCACTAGAGGAAATTATTCCATACCTAGTTTCTTTGGAAAAGCGTTTTATATCACATAGAAGTATCATTTAAGGCTCTTCGGAGCCACAATAAAAGGGAAAGGCCACAACCGCCGCTTTCCATCTTTTTTGCAATTATAATTTTACTTACTTTTTCCCATATAGACTTGTATAAAGATTGATTGTTTTTGTGCCTTTCCCTGCACACACACACACACACACACACACACACATACAAACCAGCCCACGAGTTTGATAAAAGGGAGTAGCAAACTTACAGAGAGGTATATTTTCATTTCGTATATGTCTATTTGATTTTGGAATTGCTCCAGACTCTAGGACTTGTTTTGCTTACCGTAATACCACTACACACCCGATAGAGATCGAGCAACGCAATACAGAACGGAAAGTAAAGGCTTTTGTTTAGGTATGGAAAGACGAAGTGTGTTGGAACAAGTAGTTAGACATTTTCTGTGCATACAGTTCATATTTAAGTATTTAAATCCGATACCACTATCTAGTTATCCTGATGTTTGCCCGTCAACCCTTTCACCTTTATTCACAAAATTTAGTGTTGTCTTTCAGAGATCGTCTCGATCGTCAACGGCGGCGGGTTCCAATCGCCCCAGCGCTCATAGTGGTCGAAAGGGGCTAGCATGCTCTCCTATTATTCCTGCTCGAAGCTGGAGAACTGTCGGCTCGCGCTCTTCTGCAGCCGCGTGTTGCAGTCCCTCTGACTATGGCTGCCCAATAGCACTTCGTCTACGGCGATGTTCGCACACTTCCCCTCCACTTTTCGATTCAAACAGGGGTGGGGTAGGCTGTATGAACACAGAGCCCCCCAGTATGCGGCCCCCCAAGAACCAAACCGCATGTGGAGTCCCACTCGAAGTTCCCTTTTACTCCAGTCCAAGAGATGAGAAACTTAAAGACGAGCCCAGGAGTATCGCTGGGGCGTATGTCATGACAAAAGCGTCCGTAGAGGATGGTCAGAGTGTGCTCAAACAGCTTTTGGACCGGCGTGCGAACCTTCCTGTTCCATCTTGGGCAAGCAAAGCAAAAGCTTGGAGGCCTAGCAACAATGGAAACATAACCGCAAGCGGTGGGTATCCGCTAGAAGGAGGAGGCGGCAGCACTGGAGTTCGCCTCAGCCCTGATCTATATGGTAGGCGTGATGATGTGTGTGAATACGTTCCGTTACTCCACCGATCCGAGTTCCCCAGCTCAGCGGGTGATCGGCAGCAGAGAGGCACCACGCAGGCTGACTTGGATGGTTTTCAACGTAGTCCAAGCAATGAAATCGGAACACAAACAGAGGACCTAGTAGAACCCACAGAGGATTCCGAATTAATTCCTAACCTTTCACAAACCACTCATAGCAGCACCATTGGGAATGATGTTGGAGAGGAGAGCGGTGATCGCAAAAAGGGGGGACAGCTAACCACGCGAGTGTGCGGCACCTCACGTCATATCATCTCTGATCCCGTGGATTGGCTCTCACAGGCGGCGGATTGCCCACTTATGGATCCTGAATTGTTCTCCTCCCACCCCACCCCTTTGACCGCGCTAAAACTTCACTCTCCTACCTTGTGGGATGATTCCCGAAACAACCTGATGTCCTCCGAGGTTCATCAGGATGCTGATGACGACAAGAACCCAAACAACGCTATTCTGACAAATGCAGAAGTGGTCGAGCGTGTTAACGCGCCTTTAAAATCTAACAGAGCGATCCAGAAGGACGTTCAGGATGCTTTGGGAGATCACATGCTCAGGCCAGAAGAAGGGGGACCAGTAGAGGAATCCAAGAAGGGCACTTCCAAAGATAGTGCTACGGGGCTTAGCGATCCCTCTGTGCGACTTCCTCACGCGAGAAAAGACGATAAAGAGTCGTTTGTCTTCAACGTCTTCACCCGTCGTGTTGTGAAGCAAACCTCCCCCTCCGTGCATGCGTTATCGTTGATCGGGATCGCCGTGGATGACGCCACGCAGGAGTTCGTCGTCAAGGATGCTGCCGCGTTGCAAGAGGTAGCAAGGGCGATCCGGCAAAAGCGCCTCTCATGGCCATCGGCGTGGTCGCGTGGTGGGTTGTATGCGAGGCTAAAGTACCTCCTCCTCGACGAACACATCGAGGATCCTGCCGGGAAGGTGGAGGAGTTGCTACGAGCGCAATACCAACGTCGGCGTGGCCTTTCACACACCGGGGTGGTGGTAGCGCCCCCTTCCGTTGAGAATGCAACAGGGGAGTTGATCGAGCCACCGCGAGCTTCCTTGCCGGCCGCGGAGGTTCCTCAGAAAGGTGATGAAAGGCTCTTCACGATGGAGGATCTCAGCGTAGAGCAGCAAGCGGTGGTTCGTTTTGTACTGCAGGGCTACCACACCTACATCGGGGGTGGGGCGGGAACGGGAAAATCCGCGCTGCTCCACGTGTTGAAGCATCGACTCCGACGGGAAGGCCTACGGGTCGCGGTAACCGCCACGACAGGGGTCGCGAGCAGCCACATCGGGGGCTCCACCCTCCATCATTGTTTCGGGATCAACCTCCACGGCGACTTCACACGACGGGCGGAGTTGGCCGCCTACGATGCGATCATCATCGATGAGGTCTCCATGCTCCCGAGGGAGCTTTTTGAGGCCCTGGAATACCAGCTACGCCGCGCGAATGGCGTGAATTTGCCCTTTGGGGGGGTTCAAATGATCTTGTGTGGGGATTTTATGCAGCTGGGCGCGATCGCCGCCGAGCCGATCCTGCACTCCCCGGTCTTCCGTTCGAACTTTGCGATGCTGAAGCTGATGCAGGTGATTCGGCAGAGTGAAAATCCGATTTTTGCGCTACAGCTTCAAGCCCTGCGACGTGGTCGGGTGCCTGCCGGACTCGAGAAGACCATCCAGTTTATTTCCACGAAACAAAGCCGCGAGGAAAGTGATCAGATCGAGCAGCTCCGGAAGCGTCAGCGCGCACAGCTGCATGCGATCGTGGCGAGTCTCCCCACCTCGCAACCCCCTGGCATCCTTCCCCAGTCTTCTGTAACCGTCAACGGCGACGCGATCCCCCCTCTCGATGAGGTGGAAAACGAGAATTCACCAACTCAAGCAACCCCCTCAATCCACCTTGATAACCTGGGCGACTTGGCACCAACGTTGAACAGGGAGAACTCGCCTGGTAGCCTTTCTCCAACACACTATGTGGAGGGTGCCGTCAACCTCTTTCCGACCAACCAGCAAGTTCAGGAGACCAACCTCCGAGAGCTGGCGAAGCTACCTGGTGAGGTGGTTGTGTATCACGCGCAGTTGCTGCCGCCCGCTCTATCCGACACCTGGAGCCCAACCTACCTGCTCCATGTGAAAGGCCAGGCCAAGTTGCATGTGAAGAAGATCGCGCGCGAGATCGAGCTCTATCTTAGTATGTTTTTTGAAAAAGTGAAGGACTGGGATTGGTGGTGGACGCGGATGCTCGGGCAGCAAAATATCGTGCTGTATCATCTCTTCTCCGACGCCTTAGCGTTGCGGGTGCGCATTCCGCACGGGTTCGACGGTGCGGCCGGCTTGCTCACGCATATGGCGGGCCTCGCGGATTATCTTTCCTCCCTTTCCGTCGAGGAGCTCGGCGTGCGGGTGCGCGAAATCATCCCGAGCGCCGAAGGTCTTCACACCGAGGAGGATGAGTACATTTTGGAGCAGTACGCGGCCCGCTCCCCCATGAATGCACCTTTACCCTTAAAGGTGGGTGCGCGAGTGATGCTTCGGGCGAATCTCGCCCCCGGCCTCGTGAATGGCAGCCTGGGAACTGTGGTGGGGTTTCGCGAGCTCCACCCGGATCAACTCCCCGCCCACCTCACCGCGAACCCGCAACGCGAGGAGGTCGTTCGCGGTTACGTTGATTTTCTCCGCTACGAGCACGGCTTTGCCGTTCCGTTGCTTCCCGAGGTGGACTTTGGGGATGGGCGGGTGGAGGTGATCTTCCCTGCCAGCCATCTCGTCGGGGGGCTTTCCAACACCCATCATTACAGCCTCTCGATCGTCGCGCTCCCCCTCACCTTGGCGTACGCCTTCACGGTGCATAAGGTGCAGGGGTTGACGCTTGTCGGCCGCGTGCATCTGGAGCTCTCCCGGATGTGGCCGTGTGAGCATCTCCTCTACGTCGCGATGAGTCGCGTGCGGAATCCGGATCAGCTGAGTATCTCGAACTTTGAAGAACATCTCGTCTGCGCCGGCGCGGCGTGCCTCGTGTTTGACGACAGCCTGCCTTCTGTTGAGCAGGTGAAGGTGCTCCCGCACTTTATCCAGGCGACATGGTTTCGCGCTCCAACTCAGCGGAAGAAGGCACTGCGTAAAAAAGAGCTCGAACAACTCAAGCAACGGCGCCGCCAGAAGGCAAAGGAAAGGCTGTGCGAGGACGCAAAGCGGATTATATCCGAGCTCAGTAGCGCTACGGAAGCTTAGAATGAGAAAGACTTTTTGGGATACTTCGCCTTGCGAATATTGGGCGCCCTGAATCAATGTGTACTATTAGCGTGAGGCTTTAGCTATTTTAATCAAAGCATTCAGATGGAGGAAGGCGCGTGTCTTCATAGGAATTTACTTACCGTCTACACGATACTACTCTTAGTTTGTTACACCCAGTGTATGTAAGTTGATCGACACATCCAGAAGGGAGTAGAAAGAAACTATCTTAATGCAGAGGAAAGTTGATGAACGTATATAGATATGCTTAGATACAATAAGAGTCATGCAATTCCGTATCACTTAACATTGTTTGCGGCGGCTAATATCGTCGATCTAAGTGCTTCAGTATATTACTCTATCCCTTGGCAAAAAATGTTCGTCTTCTTCTCCAAAAATCTTTATTATCTGTCCATAAATAATGTAGTTTTTTAAACTAAAAAAAATTGTAGGGCTTTATTTGTCTACCTAAATCTAGACATCAAGCCCACCCCCCCAAAAAAAAACAAAGTAGATTTTAGACTTCCTGTTTTCCACACACTGTATTTTTGTTTTTCTAAAAGCATATATATAAATAAATATATATATATATATATATTTATATTCCTACATATCGTGCAGCATAGCTTTTTGTAAAATAAAAATCAAACGGAGCGCTTTTTCTTTTTCTAGATCTTTTTTTATTATTATTCTTAACTTACTACCATCTTGCTTCTCTCCCTTCCCACGCACCGTAGAGTATCGAGTAGTGGAAAGAGAAAATATACAAAGAAAGGATAAACAGAGAGCAAGGGTTGTATTATTGATCATAGAGGCATTTAACATTTTTTTTATCGTTGTTGGTACGTTGCTTTTAAGCAGTTGATACTATACAACAACCAACAGATCGTGCTTTTATTGATTAATACAAAACTCAATATTTTCTCAATTTCTTGCAGGTGGACGAACCTCAGCAGAACGTACGATAATATAGTGTGACGCATTTAGATAATATATTACGCAAATGCTTCGTCGCTTGTGTGGTAGTTCTTCATGCCAAACGAGATGCGGTTGCAGCGCTTTACTATTGGCAAATAAGCTTTATACGTCAGCGAAATTACCATTACTAGGGCCCTCCTTGTTTCACAGAGGGAGAAATGTTTCGGAGGTGGTATTTTCCGTTGGCATTGGTCACCGCACCTTGGCTTATTCCTGCCGTTTTGCCTCGACGAAAAGTGCCGCTGCCGGAGAAAACGGCCTGAAAGCGACGCAGCGCCGTGGAAGGATGCAAAAGAAGTCTAGTATCGTTACTTCTGCACCCCACGGGGCTGGTAATTTGGCGAATGCCTCGATGATGCCAGAACAGCCGCTAGCGCCTTCATTGATCACCCCACCGGTGCCCGAACCGCCAGAAAAGACTTCGAAGGCGACAAAAAAAGGATCGCAGAAGGGTAGCTCGACGAAGCAAAAGCAAGCCAAAGCATCGAAAGAGCCCATCAAGGAAGTGACCGTTGACTTTGACGAAAACCTCGATGAGTTGTCGTTCTTTTCCGAATTACCGAGTGAAGATCGCACGCCTCGCAGCTTTTCCGAGACCACCCTCGTATACAACGCGCTCACAGGGCGCATGACGAGTGAGATGTCGAACTCCATCGTTTGCCTTAAGAACATCGGTTTCGGCATCAACGAGCAGCGCCAAATCTACGTTGAGAAACCAGAAGAGATCAACAACCTCGCGGAGCGCGTGCGGGCGGGAACCGCGACGCTGCCACCGAAGTGGCCGACTATGATCACCAATGTTCTCGGTGGCATTCTCAAGAATCCCGCGATCACTGACCCCGCCGAGGCGATTCGGCAGATGATTCAAATCAAAGTCAACAGCGTCATGCGGAGCAAATACGCCTCCGTCGTCACCGCCGCCTCGTACGACGGCCAAACCACGGAGGGCTCTAACATGCTCGACTTCCTCGACGATGCGGGCGATCCAACCAAAGGCATCGAACTCAACCCGGAGCAGGAACGCGTGATCGAGATCGCGTTAAAAGGGCATCATATGTACATCGGGGGAAGTGCGGGCACCGGGAAGACGGTCCTCCTCCGCGCCCTGAGCCGTCGCCTGCGGGCAAACCACCTTCGCGTCGCCATGACAGCCACCACCGGGGTTGCGGGTTGCCATATCGGGGGTTCCACCTTTCACCATATCATGGGAGTTTCCTCTAAAGGGGAATTCCTCCGCCGTGCGAATATCCTGGACTACGACGTGATCATTATCGACGAGGTTTCCATGTTCCCACTGAGCCTCTTCGAGGATTTCGATCGCGTGATGCGGGAGGAGGCGGGTACGCCGGACGTGCCTTTTGGAGGGGTGCAGATTATCCTCTGCGGGGACTTTCTCCAGCTCGGTTGCATCCATGAGAGGTCGGTGATCTATTCGACGCTCTTCCAGGACAATTTCGTGAAGCTTCGCCTGCAGACGCAGGTGCGGCAGTCCGCCTTTCCAAAGTTTGCTGAGAATTTACACCAAATGCGTTTAGGCGTCGTCCCGAGCGACCTCACCGAGATGGTGCAGGAACTTCCCCCGGGAACCATGGTGGACTCCGCCGTGAATTTGCTTCCCACAAACAGTGAGGTGCATGTGGCGAACGAACGGGAGCTCGCACGGCTGCCTGGGGATCCGCTCACCCTCACCCCGGAGACCGGTATTACCTCTCTAAAGTGCGAATCCACCGTCACGCTTTTGCTGCGCACGAATAAAGAGAACTTTAACGAAGAGTTGTTCGCCAAATACGTCCGTTCCTTGTTGCAGGCGACGCTGGACTTACCACGGGCCTCCTTGTTATCCATTTACCGCATTTACGAAGACGGCCACGCCATGCGGGTGGTGCTACCGCCGAGTGAGAGTGTGGCCTGGCGGGAGGCGATGCGGGAGCGCTTTCTTGAGGTTGCCGGGTTGATCAACGACCTCAATCTGGGCGCGACCGTTACCGAAATCATCCCCAACGGGGATGGCCTCCACACCCCGGAAAACGAAGAAACCCTGCAACGCCTGATGGCCAAGCACCCAATTGCGCAGCCGTTAACGTTCAAAAAAGGCTGCCGGGTCCTCCTCCGCTCCAACGTCAGTGCGAACCTGGTGAATGGCAGCATCGGGACCATCGTAGATTTGGTGGAGTGCAGGCTGCAGAACTTCCCGGAGTTCGTGCGGAGCGCGAATATCGAGGAGTGCATTGAGCGATATCGGGTGTTTTGCATGACGGAGTGTGGGATGCCGGTGCCGCTCGTGCCGGTGGTGAAATTTCACAGCGGCGAGACGGTGGCGGTGCCGCCGTGGGAATTCAACGTCGGGGGAACCCCGGCGACGAATTATTACAGCCTCTCGATCGTCGCGCTCCCCCTCACCTTGGCGTACGCCTTCACGGTGCATAAGGTGCAGGGGTTGACGCTTGTCGGCCGCGTGCATCTGGAGCTCTCCCGGATGTGGCCGTGTGAGCATCTCCTCTACGTCGCGATGAGTCGCGTGCGGAATCCGGATCAGCTGAGTATCTCGAACTTCCGGGCGAACATGGTGGTGGCGAATCCGGACTGCGTCGCCTTTGATCGCGATCTCAAGGCCGCCGTGGAGCTCACCGCGGAGGAGCTGCAAAAGTACCCGGTGTCGTCCTGGAAGCGGTGCAACGATACGATTTTTCACCTTCGCCGTCGTGGTTCCTCGCTACGGCGGTTGCTGCAGGATACGATGCTTTCCGGTGCTCGGGAGGGGTCTGGGGTGGCCGGGAGGGCAGGGGGGGGTTCCCTCCCGTTGCCGCCTGCGCTCGGCCGCGAATCCACCGCCGAGGACGACAACCCCCTCGCCTCGATGGCGGCGCGGAAGGCAGGGGATGCTTCGCTTGCGAGCAACGGGAGGTCCTCGCGGGCGGCCTCCCCGCACGTCGACCACCTCGCGTCGGTCGAGCGCTCGGTGATCGTAGCACGACGGATGCGAAAATTAATCAAGTGCGTCGAGCGAGCCGCGAAGCTGAGCGAATCCAGACGGAAGGCCAAAGCCACCGCGGTGGTGGGGGCGCCCGTCTCCTCTCCCCTCTCAACCCCCGGTGGCGACGCGGGAGTCCGTTTAATCGCCCCAGAAGGTTCTGGCAACGGCGGGCGGACGGATGAGACCTTCAACGGAGGCGTCGAAGTAGATTTGTCTACCAATGAGTTCTCGTTTTGAGTAGAAAAATTCAACCCTGCAGTAAAAAGTGGGCGAACTCTTATGGAAATAAGAAGCAGCCACTAGAACCCCATTCTTAGGGAATCATTATTTCGGTGACTTACCCGTCCGTACATTTATTTATTACTGAAGAACGAATAAGCCATCTACAGGATCAGAAAATAGACCTAATAACATCCCTGGTGGTGTTCCTATCAATGTCATGAATATGTCTTGTTGCCACCAACCTGCTTGATCTTCCACAGTCTGGGTGGCATATTCTACCGTCAACGAGACTATTTTCGAGTCCCCACATGCGCACCAATTATTTGACATGTAGCTTCAGTGTATCACACAGAACTGCAGTCAAGGTATAGAGTAATTTTTTTGTCTACACTACCCCCCCCCTTCCCTCTCTTTTAGAAGCACGTTGTCTTTCTGTTATGTATGCAGGTATGCATAAATACATTTATACATATATGAGATGCTTTCTTTTTCCACTGTGCCTGACTCAAGTTTTAGACTCCTACGTGTGGGCGACTTGAGAAAGGGTAAATGTCGATATAAAGTAGAAATACACATGGCATGGAAAATGAAATGAACGTGTGATGATAGGATATTATGTTAAAAGGATGGTATATTGTAAGTCCTAGCTTTTAAGACAAACAATGTACTCATGTTGACTAGAAAAGTTGCACAAGAAACCCAAGAGGAAAAATTCTTGTCCAAAGATTTTTTACTGTTGTTGGATACCGTTGTTTGTTGAATTTTGCTCGTCGATATATATATATTTGTGATGCGGTAATTTTGCCTTTATTTTCATGTTAAATCAGTAATTGTCTGTAGATAACGCTTCAATGAAATTCAAACACTTTAATGGGAAACATATGTTGTATGTAATAAAATCATACGTATGTTTACATATGCATTTGTGTATGCACACATATTCAGCTTGAGTCTCCAAATTTGCGAGCCTCAGGAGAAGCAATTATCCCTTTATAGTCGTCTAAATCATTCATCCCATAATTAGAGTTTTAGAATACGGAACTATACTCTATTTATCGTTTATTTCCTACTTCGAATAAGGCAATTGAGTTTGATTGTATGTAGTTGTGAGTTCTTTTTTGATTTTGTGTCTTTGAAGGTGGAAGCAAAAAGCCTTCTACATGATACATCTAACGATAGGAAAAATACCAAAGTACCATTGGTGAGCAAGCCTTACCTTCTTTCGGAATTTTCTTATTGTTGTCTTTAAAGAACTTGCTCTGTTTTAAGCAATTATTAGTATACCGTTTTCACATCTTGTTTAAATATCTATGTACTTTTTAGGTAAGAAAATTTTATAGATAGTGCAATGTTTGTATTTCGAATTTTTTTAAACCTTTGTGAACGCAGGAAAGGAAAATAATCAAAAGATTAATATAAAGTAGATTCCGTATCCTGGTTGTCTTATATATGATCTCGAAAAGTTTCAATTTTCATGAAAAAAAATAATTCATACGTTTGACCGAAATTGAAATGCTCTAAAGCATTGCTCTGCCATGAATAATATTATGATCTTATCAGCTCACCACCATCCCCCTTCATTTTACCTTTCTTGTGATTTTTATTCCCTGTTGCTGGTCCCAGTAAGTAAAGGCACTTAGGATTGCTTAAATTGGAGGTATCTAGCAGTTCTGAGAATACTTATACTTATCTATATCTTTTCATATACAGACAAATATCAAAACCAAATGACTGCAAAGAAAAACCTGCCGTTGGAAAAAAAAAGCAATGATTCGAAGAAGCACGTTTCTAACTCTGTTGCATGTGTTAAAAAGCCCCAAGGCAATCTAAAGCCACCACCCCCACATGGTAATGGGGGTGGTGGGAAAAGGCCTGCGGTGCCGCCATCTGCTGTAGATTCAAAGCAAAGCATCCTAAAAGAAACGAAATCAATAACCCCAAAGCCTTCCCTCAAGCCGGATAAGGGTAAGCTCTTGGCCTCTGAATCCAAATCCAAAAAAGACTATGGAGGAGCGGATAAATCAAAAAAGAAGGTGATAGCGAAAGAGACGGCGCCACCATCTCGTCCTCATCAACCCCCTCCAAAGGGTCCTGTTACAAAGCAACCAACGCCAACAAACCGTGCACCACCCTCTTCACTAAAGGCAAGTAAACGGAGTCGAGAGGATTCAACGGACGAAAGAAGTGGGAAGTTGAGCTGTCTTGAAATAAAGGGTAAGAAGGCAGCAAGACCACCTTCGCCACATGCAAAAAGTGGCTTAAAGAAAACACCCGCCATCAGCGCGTCTGAACCATGCAACAAGTCGTCAGGACACTCTTCGGCAGCTCAACACCGTCCCGCTAGTGCACATTCGCCGTGCAAGGCTAAATCTCAGACTACTGTTAAGAGTCAAAATACTCTCTCCGATATAAATCGTGGGACGGTAAGTAATAGCTTCTCCACCAACGAAGTAGCTAAAGAAATCAAAAAGCAATCACCGTCTCTAAATGTGAAAGTAACCCACTATACAGTAGCCTCATGGCGTATTTCTACGAACACGCCCGCTGCTGAAGTGATTCAGTCATCTGAAAATAACTCCGGGGGGCATTGCATGCCTTCTTCCTCTCCAAATGAGTTTTATTCCGTTGCCTTTTCTTTAAGCAATGGTACGTACGGTGTATGGTTTCCCCACGATGCAAGCTGTCTGCAAATCCTGACGTCCCCATATCCACAAAATGGAGGATGTCCAGGAGGGCTCTCTTGTGGTGCTGAAGTTGTAGATTCTCCGCGGTATCTTCAGCAAGAGGAAAGCTGCATCCTGTATGTAAACCCTGCAGGTCACGCGATGGTATTTTGTTTGGAAGCACATCCCAGAACGACTCTTCACGACTCATTATGCACGCATTCTCCAAAAAATGATGGTCCGTTGCCAGAACCGGCATTGAGCACGCAACCACAACCGCCCATGACCTCCCAGATAGACCAGGGGGAGACCACGGCACCCCGTGCACTACATTTGGCATCGCCCCCAGAGGTTTCCGAACACGGCATCCGCTGGCTTCTGATTCCTACCTCGCTGCAACACAAATTTAAGCTCCTACCATGGGCTCACCGCTGGCGCTGCAGCCTCTCTGAAGCGGCGTGGGATGTCGCACATCCTCTTTCCTGTCGAAAACAGAACAATCCGGCGGCGTCGATGATGTCCGACCCCGTGAAAACAGAAGACGCGGCAGCGAGCGCAGAGGGAGTATCAAAAATGCAGCACATCACAACAGAGCTTCATGAGGACCGGTGGTGGGATCTGGCAAAGCTGCCGCGAGGGAGTCCCCCTCCTCGTAACTATCAAGTTTTCTCGTTCGGTATGCGTGTTGTGCTCGATCATGGCAACGGTAAGGGAATGATTCTCACCTCCGGTTTCGGCATGCCGCCGTCGGGGTCGACGCGCGCCGTAAAACCCAACCCAAACGTCAAGGCAGCTGCTACCACGTCAGCCCCACCCCCTGCCCCTGGGAAGGATAAAACCAGCAAGAAGAAATCGCCCCATAACGAGCCGTCACATCCACGGGCCGCCGCGACCCCCCAATCGAAACCCTTGTGGGAGACGCGGTGGTTCATCCCGTACGTGTGTGCGGCGCGGCTGCCGTCTCTGCCCTGCTGTGAAAGGGGCAACCCTAACAACGACATCCCTCAGCCTCCACCCCCCTTCTTGGAAGCTAACAAGGCCACAAGTCGAACCACGCCCCCTTCAAAATGTCCCCAGCGGGACTCCACATGCCCACCCGGCGATGTCACAGGGAAAGGAAAAGAGAAGGTTAAAGGTGATGCCAAAGGGAAAGGGGAAGAGGAAAGACTTGAGACGGACAGGGCGAAGGGGCCTTCCACCTTGTGGTCACAGGAGGCGCCCTGTGCCCGATTCACGCTGGCCAACATCTTAGAGCGGTACCCAGGCGATCTGTTCTACTGCCACCCACGTGAGGAAAATGAGTGAGGCCAACTAATGGGGAGGGGCCTCTCCCGCAGAGCGGGGTCAAAACCGCTTCAGTTGTTTCTCTTGTTTTAATTGGTTGACTATTCTCTCCCCTCCTCCCTTTCAATTTTTTATATTCGCCTTATGCACATATCTGTTTACACCAATCCGATCTGAGACGTTTGACTTACCGGTACTTTTATTTTTTATTTATTTCTTGATTTCTCTGCTTAGGGAGAATAAGTGAAAATACTAAATTTGTCATTCTCACCTTCTCCGAGGATTAATATACTGTTTACGGGAACATTATTTTATTTTAGCTCTTGGGTAATTTTCAATAGATTGTTTGCATACGCAATCGACATTTAATTTTGTTTTTTCCATTCGTATCCGACGTACTTATCTACAGATTCAACTCCAAATATCCTCTGCAGGAATTCAAGCAGAGCTTCACTATGTAGAAAGTTCCACAGTCGTTCTGCTATCATCTTAACAAACTTGGCACGGTTTTCGGACACAATCAATGCCTGACATTCAAAAAGAAGGTGGTGTAGCGTCTCCTCTGCACCTATGTTAGTAGGAAGGGACGATGGGTGTTCTGATGCAAGCGACATTTAATTCATATACTCTTTCGCGATTTAATGTCTTTTTTTCCATCATTTTCCCTCTTTGTTGTTGTTACACTCTCGGTAACATGAAGAATTCGCATTCATTTTATTTTTAATTGCTCATATATCAGAAAACCTCAGCATACTCATTGAATTTCAATAAACATAATAAATATTTCTCAGCCTTATCAGATTAAAGCAAAAAACAAATGTCAATCGGCTTTTGCATTCCGGAAAAACGCGATCACCTCATCCTTACCGCTAAGCTTGCTGAGCAATGTGAGCGCTATGATGAGATCCTGATTTGTATGAAGCGCGCTGTAAAGCTTGATCCTCATCTCTCCAGTGAGGAGCGTAACTTGCTTTCCGTTGCCTACAAGAACATCATTGGCGGTCGCCGCTCCTGTTGGCGTAGTATCACCTCTCTCGAGCTCAAGGAGGAGGCAAAGAAGGAGAAGAACCTCAATCTCATCAAGGGTTTCAAGAAGCAAGTGGAAAAGGAGCTGGCAGAGATCTGCACCGATGTGCTGGAGTTGTTGGACAAGTACCTTATCCCAGCTGCCGACAACGACGAGAGCAAGGTATACTACTACAAGCTCAAGGGTGATTACCATCGCTACTACGCCGAGATCGAGGCGAGCTCGGAAGCGCAAAAGAACCTCGCGCTGGAGGCCTACTCCTTGGCTTCTGAGCACATCTCGTCGTTGAAGCCCACCTCGCCGGTGCGGCTCGGCCTCGCACTGAACTTCTCCGTGTTGTACTACGAAATCCTTAAGCGGCCGGATATGGGCTGTCAGCTTGCCCGCCAGGCCTTTGAGGAGGCCCTCAACGACCCCAAGGTGCTTGATGAGGAGCAACACAAGGAGGCTGCGCTGATTATGCAGCTCCTGCGTGATAACCTCGCGCTATGGACGGAAGATGCCCATCCTGAGAGCCCAGACGACGGAACGGCGATGGAGGAGCTTGAATAAAAGGCCCTCCACGCTGATTCGGTACTTTTTTTTAATGATACACGAACAGAGGCTTTAAAAAAAAAGGCAGGAAAGGTCTGCGGTTTTAAGGATCAGGGTCACCTTTTCTCTCCGCATGTGTCTTATATGCTTTAGTAAGAGCTACTTCTCTCATTCCGATTTTTTAGTGGCCACGAGTGGCCCATAGATTTGACCTCTCTCAGTTGACACGGAAAAGATGTATAAGAGGTCTCATATGCATGTTTACATATTTATATAATCGCTTGCATTTTTCTTCTTAAAGAATCAGCTCCACAGGCATGTGTGAGCTGGTAATTCGCAGCAATGCACGCATAAACTGCGAGCTAACTTGATCTTTATGCATCACGTATTTCGACTAAATAGAAAGAGGCTTGTCTCGCATTCATTTATTTACCAGATGCAGTCTATACTATATATATATATTAAAGAGCGGAAGAATAAATGCACTCTAGTTGTGGGAGCGTACATTAACGTTGAAGAATGAGAAAATACTTATCTACATAATTTTTAAGCAAACAGACGAAGCATGGGGTTGTATATCAGCGTAAGTTCTAGTAACTCTGAGCTTTTGATATATATTTGGGTTGCATCCAATTTTTCAGAGGAAATAAAAAAGTATAGTTAAAGTAGAGCAGTTCATGATAATTTTGGGGGGCCTTCAATGAATACATCTCTTGCAAGCATCACGCTTCCTGAGAAAGCGTGAATTCTGAGAAATTTAAGCATGTGTAATAAAATATACTGAAGGTTGAGAAAAAAATTCTGCTTTTGATTCCTAACATGTTGAATGGTCTTGCAAGTAGCGGAGGAAAAGCAAATAAAAGATTGTTATATATATTATATGTTTGTTTTTGAATGTACACCAATTATCGATATAATGGTATGAAAATTCACCCTTGGGTATATTGGAGCGCCTGTTGAGAGAGTCAAGTAAAGAAGGTTTTTTAGAAAGCACATGTTTCTATCTGGTACCGTAAACTGACGACGATGCGAGGGGAAGAACGAATCAAAAGGTGGTAATCCGTGTATCAAGCTTACCTGCTTTCCCTATCACGATTTTTTTCACGATAGTGTCCCTATTTTTATTTTATTTTCACTTTTTTATCGCTACTTAGTAGGCGCATTCACCACTCCATGAATGAAATGAATGGCATAGTAGTCAAGTATTCTGAGAGTATCTTGAGGGTGTGGGGGGATAGGGGAAGGCAAGTAGAAAGTGTGCACTCCACAGCGACGGCGCAGACCTTTTCACTGTAACAATGCCTCTCTGAAAGGGGCTCGAAGAGCCCTCCTCATGGAATGGCAAGTTCCCTATAGTAGTCCGATGTTAAGCAGTAAATAGAGTTCGCGAGTCTATGTAGTCGATTTACCTACCTGCGGGTCATCTGATGTTGAGGAAATGGACAACTACGATTAACTTTTGATAAATATGAAGGCCTTTCAGGAAGAACAAACCCAGACAATGTTAGATGAAATACTAGATCTGAGGTGAGGCGAAGTGAAGGGATAAATGAACGAGTTATACTCGTTGCTACCAGTTGGTTTAGCAATTTTCACATCTACGACACAATTTTTATCAAAAGTCCTTAATATTCTCCCTTAAATTGCTATTAAGGAGGAAAGATCCATTATAATCTTTACCCCAGATCGATTAATTGCTTCTTGGCGCTCGAACGGACACATTGAGAAAGATGTACTGTTAAATGGCATTGTACCTCGTTTATATTATTCCTCCTTATGGTAACATTCATTCAGTATTATTTTATCTTTGTATCTATGCGTGTTAATTTATTTTATACAAGGCGATTTAGTTTAGAAGAAGTGGACAAAAAAGCGAAACTGATCCCAGTGTAGGTTGTAGCTGTCATAAAGGCGATGGCGCCCCTTCCTGTCCTTAAATTCTTCTTTCTTGGGGTTCGGCAACTCACAAAGCCGGTAGCTAAACATGTTGTCGCGCGAGCTAACGCCAAGCGTGGTATAACACGTAAATTATGCATTGGATTGGGTCGCATATCCTTGGGGCTTTCTGGTGTCATCACAGAGTGGTCGAATAACGAGATGCGCCGACAGATTGAGAATAATCAAAGAATGATGAGGGAGAATCGAAATATTACGGAGACGGTGCATAGGCTGGACTCGACTGTGGGGAAGCTCAGCGGTGAGTCTCGCTCAGAGAACAAGATAGTGCAGGACGGGGGGGTCAACACCACATTTTCATCCTCAGTGGTGGGAATGGATTTAGGTACCCCACACACTATAGAAACCTCAAAATCAGTGAACGCGATTGCCAGCGCCACACCACGTTCGCGTTCGCTTCTGGAGGTTCTCACATACGGTCCTGCTCCAAAAGAATCCCAAGCCTACAGCAGCAGGGTTTTTGTAAATCCAATGGGCCTTGCTGGAGGAGTCGCGCGCATTTTTATACGTCAATCGTATCAAAGCGCATGGGTTGTGTTCCGAACTACCTTTTTCTCACCATTTCCTGAGGAACGACTACTAAGTGCAGGGGTGGATTTAATGATAGAACTGTTAGCCTACATTGTGTTAGCGTCGTTGCTGTTTTGGGAACTCTCTATTCAATCAAAGGCTAATGCCGCGAAGGAAGCTAGGATTGACGAAATGGAATCGAAGTTGAACAGATTAATAGATTTAATGCACTTGGATTATCAGAGCGAAATCATGAAAACCACGCCCACGCCAGCTCCTAAGAACAACACAATGCTCAACGCCCTCATGAATACTATTGCGCAAAGTGCGCATGTAGCGTGGAAAGCATTGCGTGAACTACTTGGGTTCAACTATGGAGGAAAGTTCCTTCAAGGAGAGGAGAATTCTGGCGCGGCTAAAAATATTTAGCGTTATGAACACTGTCGTTCAATCGGGAGCATGCGACTCTTCGTGGTTAAAATTAAGGAAATGATTATACACAGAAATGGAAAAGGTGTCATAACGGTGGATCCCTCAGTATTTCTGAGCATTGTATGCGTTTTATTAACCTTCTCGGCACGTAAGTATTATAATACGTTTAATGTTCCACATGAAGGGGATTAAAATCGTTTGCCCTATCTCTTCTCCTCTCTCCTAAAATTAGCAACCATAAGCTCATTGACAACATGCACTTGTTGTCCTACGGAACTATATTATACCAATAAATTAGAGAACTGAATTAACTTATTTGGTTACTTTAATTTGAAACACCTCAACGAGTTTGCATGAGGAAGCAGATGTAACTAGGATGAAAAATCGACTCACGTACATTGTTTTTGAATCCAAAAGAAAAGAAAAACATGGGATTCAACTTAATCTAAGCCGACACTTGGATTGTCTTTCATCTTTCTTCGGATGAGATTCTTTGTCCCTTTTGGTTAAGGGCTTAAGTGCCGCAATAGGTCACCTTTTCGACACTGCTGCTAGTTTATTTGGTGCGTATCTTAATTGACTACCATTGTTTCTTCTCCTCTCCCTTTTACCACGCAATACCAACGTTACGTACATCTTTTTAAGGAAGCGACAAATATCATCCCATTCTTCAAGTACACAATAAATATTACAATAGCTGTCCGCTTCGTAAGAAGGTCCCTTGACCTTTATTTTCAAGTTAGCCACGAGAAATCTCGGGGCTCGATTTTATAGAAATTAATTAAATAGATATCCATACCATAGAAAATGTACACTCGAAAGGCAGTTTCTGCTGCAGTCCCAACCGCTTGCAAAACCCTCAAATCCATCCCTGCGGCATCAGCGATACATGCAAAAGGGGCAGGCAAAGTTGCCAAGGCGTATCAGAGCAAGACGACTAACATCCCCGTGATAGAACCCACCTTTAATGGCATTTCACTGAGCCCTAAGAAGCCTAATGAGGGTGTTCTTGGGGAGAACGAGACGCTGAATAAAATAGTCAACGTGGTGCGCGCCGCCACGGCTCCGTTCGCGGATTTGGACGAAATCATCGCCAGACCTCCCGGGGCAGAGCAACGCGGCGTCGTGGCTAGCCGAGAAGAGCGCCTTTCGGTCGCGGGAACACCCCGCATCACTCACCGAAGCTTCGCGGCTTCGTTGATATGCCCGAAGAAGTTCTACCTCTTTCAGCAGCGCCCAGATTTGGTTCCGGACGCTTCGATTGGCGAGTCGGTGTTCTTGGACGACGCCGCCGGGTTCAACGAGCTCGCGCGGCAGTGGGATCGTCTTCAATTCGGTAGCAAAGCCATCCTGATCTCGGATAGCGGCCTCGTGGAGGCCGCCCAGCACACGGAAAATGTCATTGTCAACTACTTCGAAACGACCTACGCTTCCTTGAGGGAACAAGCCCCCTCACTAACGATTCATAGACCAGCCTTTTTGGCGCCTTTTGGCGGCTACACTAAGGATCACTCCGGGGCTGGTGCGAGTCCATCCCATCCGCTGCTGCTGTGTGCGCGGCCCTTAGTCTTGCGGTATCGCCCAAAGGATAACCAGTGGGTTATTCTTGAAGCGCAGGCCATTGTAGACCCGCTCGCCACCGCCGCCCGTGCTGGGCAGATTCTACAGCGCATTCACTTCTCCGCATTAGCCTTCCTGCACTCCGTCACCCAGCCGCACATCCCGATCTCCCTTCGAAAGCGGTTTCTCAACATCGACCTCGACACCGTCACGGAGGAAAATATGAAAGGTCACGTCCTGGAGCACACCGCCCGCGCGGTCGCGCCGATTGACCTCAAACGAAGTGGCGTCCTGCACATCCGCCAGTTCTTCCCAGGCCCGGTGACCCTCCTCGACTGCGATCCACCACGGCTCGTGAAGTTCGTGCAGCGGCTCTCCCTGGATGAGTTGCTCCACGCGGATGGCCGGCAGCAGCTTAAACAGCCCCACCCTGGCAGCTGCGCCGGGGCCTTTGACCTGCAGCATCTCGCGCGGTTTGGCCCGGACGTCCAGGCCGCCCATCGGGCAATGGTGGAGGCCCTGCAGCGGTCCGATCGTTACGGCAACGCCCGTAACAACCGCAGCGTGCGGCAGAAGGAAACGAACGAGAACGCGCTCTTCCAGGCGCAGCAGCAGTTGATGCGGGCGCTGCTCCTCCACCACACCCTCCCGCTTACGGAGAAGTTTCACGACCCCACGCGGGTGCGGCGTTGGCTGACGTTCTCGAGCGAAGCTCCTAACGGCCTTGTCCACTCCACCTACGCACGGCTGGAGGAGCAAGCGCAGGGGCAAGAAAAAGAGAAGGAAAAGGAAAAGGTCGCGGCTGTCGATGCCAAGTCGGGGAAAGGCGGGAAACGTGGTGCCGGTAAAAAGAACCAGGGAAAGGCCGCCGATCTTAAGGATCCCACAGCGGACGCTGTGTGTGCGGCGCCTTCTCTTTCCATCCCTAGTATCCCTCACTTCTCGGAGAACATCGGCGCGCACTGCTCGAGAGCTGACGCCTGCCCTTTTTTCGTGGAAGGGATGTGTCTACCTCAAAAGGTCGCAAATCCAATTAAAGCGTGCGATAACCACCTCTTCACACTTCCATCCACCTCTTTAGCGCGGAAGGTGACGTGGTGGGGGGAGGGGCTCCGCACCATCCGCGATGTGCTCTATCAATACAAGTGCGGCTATATCAAGCTCACGGCACCGCAGCTGCGCTACGTCAAAGCCGTGGCGGAAGGCCATGTCGCGATTAATCCGAAGGAAATCGACAAATTCTTCGCTAAAATCCGCTACCCGACGTTCATCATCGACTTTGAGGCCTCCCAGTTCGCACTGCCACCGTATCAAAAAGTCAACGCCTACAATTCCGTACCATTTCAGTTCTCGATGGACGTCTTTCAGGAGGACATCCTCACCGAGACGCCAACCCACTACGACTTTCTGCATTTTGGCAAGGGCTACTCCCCGAACGAGGACCCACGTCCGAAACTCATCGCGGAACTTATGCGGGTGGTTAAGCTCGAACGAGAGAAGAAACGTCAGGCAATGGAAGCCTCCGGTGAGTTAGGGGAGGGAGAAGAAGAAACGGTGGTCAAGGGCAGTGGGAAGCGCGGCGCTAAAAAGGCGCCTAAAATTAACAAAAACAACCCATTAGAGGGGCCCTTGACGCCCTACGACGGGTGTTTTATCTCACACTTCAGCTCCTTTGAGAAGTCCTGCTTAGAAAAGTTGGGTCAGCTTGAGGAGCGTTTCAAGGAGGAAATTAAAAGCTTTTACTTTCTTGACACAATGGACCTAATTAAAAAAGGCTTTAGTCACCCCAACGCGCATGGCTCAAACTCGCTCAAAAAGGTGCTTCCTGCGCTCTGCCCAGACTTCCAGTATGGCGTATTTGGGAGCGAGACGGAAGACGCGGATGGCGTCGAGGGTGCATTGCTAGGCAGAAGTGAGGAAGGACCTCGACAGGATGAGCAAAAGGGTGAAAACGCCATGGGCATCTACCGATTGTGGTATCATCAGGAAGGTGGGGGGACGGTTCAGGACTTAAGGCACAATAGGGTAGCTGCACAACCTTTTAATAATCTCAACAGCATCAATGGTGAGGCCAGCCATTCTGGGGATGATGCTGCCGCTCGTACCTGTGTGCCGAAAGAGGTGCGCGAAAGGGTATGGAGCCGGCTTCGCATTCAGCTGCTGGAATATTGCTCCCTTGACACCAAGGCACTATACGAGATTATGCGTGAGATTTGGAAAGAGAAAGAGGCCGCAAAGAATCTTCCGTCGGTTGATAAGTCAGGATGGGTCTACGTAGCACCTACACCTAGAGAAGTATCATTCTGATTTGGCGCGCCCGCGCAGAGCCAAATGAAATGAGATTAAGGGGGGGGGAGGGGAGATGAGTCCTTCTCATTTCACGTTTGTTTATATTGTAGTCTTTTTATCCATCATTTCTTGATTATGATTCTGTCCTCTTTTTTTTGACCGCTTTTTCTTTGCGTTTAATAAAAAATTAATTCTTCTGTGGAATATTTTCCTCGCGTCGAAATAGGTTGAATGGACGTGAAGGTTACTTATCTTTTTGCTTAGTTTCCTTTCGGTAATTGTGAATTCTTTTTAGATTGCCCTCATAGACAACCTTTGAAATATCGAGAGAAGAATATCGAGTAGGAGCGCGCACCGCTTTCCATTAATCTCGTTGAGTCTGAAGTTTAATACATCTAAGACTCTTTGTTTTATAACGCAAATATAAGCTCGGATAAAATAAGACATTGGAATAGCATATTTTCCCGACCTGCGTACTGGTGTTCATTACGACCATCCTAACGACATCCTAAACTTCCCAAACACTTTTCACACCTCGATTGCCACAATACAGTAAGTAGAAAAAAACCTTCTGTCTAGATATTAGGGTAAAAATTCAAAATAGAAAGCATGCTCACTAGCCTAGTAGTTTTGTGCGATGGCTTTCAAAGTTCCATCAAGGCGGTCGAGTTCGCCGGCTTTCCCGGGATGCTGCTGCGCAAGCACGAGGGGACGGAACTGGTGCTGGTGCATGTCTGCAGTAGCAGGGAGGCGTTGCTGCGCGGCAGTGATGCGATCGTGAACGTAGCGAACCCCCACCACCCCACTGGATCGACCTCGTCGGCGGGGTTCAGTCCAGATGAGGTCGTGCAGCACGCGCTGGCGATGTGTGCGCACGGCGGTAGCAGCAGCGGCTCCTTCATTCACGCACGTAAACCCAGCATGAGTGGGGAGGAGCGAAACGCGACCGACGGGCAGGCGAAGTCCCCCAGATATCAGCCTCAGGTATCGCAACCCAGTTTTCTCGTAATCCACAACACCTTGACGGCGATTCACAAAAGCAAAGTCCTTTCGGGGAAGTTGAATTATAAAATGGTGCTCTCGCTTCTCCCGAGCGGCGCGGGTTCGTCGTCGCCTACCTCTTCGGGAAAAGGAGAGGGCGGGGCGGCGGCGGCGGTGGCGACGTACGCCGCCACCCACGCTCGGCAATACGGCACCGATACCATCGTTCTCGGAGCAGGAAATGTGGCCGAAGGCAAAGCGTTACGAGTTGGTGCTGTGGCCAAGCAAGTCCTGGAGCTCAAAAGGGACCTTTGCCTTTACTTTATTAAGGCAAACGGGCTCACACTGCGTGCGAGCACGGCGCGGGTGTGTTACATCGTGCTCATTCCTGTGATGGCACCGGAGGACGGCAAGGAGGCTGACGAGCAGCTGAAGGCAGGGGTGGATGCTCTGAGCTACGCCCTTCAGCGGCGTCGTGTACAGAGCGAAGGTGCCGCCTCAGAGGGGCCGAATCGCTTTAAGGATTTCGTCTCCGTAACACTGGTGGTGGAGCCGAATGCTGACCCCTCGCAGGTGATACAGTATACACAGGTCTTCGAGGATATTTTGGACAGAGAGCAACCGCGGAGGGTGGATCCGGAATACGACGCTGGAGAAGGAAAGGCTTCGGATGCAAACGACGAAGTAGAGACGGTACCTGAGGATAATCATGACGAGGTAGCTACAATAACCGCCCCAACCTTGATATCAACGTGCACGCTGAAGCCCAACAAATCTAATCCACAACCTACCGTGCGAAACGCCGGTGGTCAAGCTGCGAAGTTTATTTCCGCCTTGAAGCCAAACTTTCTAGTAATGGCGAATTCAGTTCCTGATGAACTGCACCTTTGTATGCTGAGGGAATTAAAATATCACTGCATAATAGTACCAAGAAAAATACAAAAGTGAGGTCCATGCACCAACTACGTCTTTACCTGTATGCATCGTTTTTTTCTTGATGATGTAGAGGGCGTGTGTGCGTGATATCCACGACGTGTGGAACCTCACCCTCTCTGTTTCCCAGGCAGAAACAAAGATGCAAATGTAAAGGTCAAATGATCCCAAGAGGCGAAAAGGGGAGTCGTTGTGGTACCTATTTCCCCATTTCCGTCCTAGCCTTAATCCCATCTTTGTATATTCGACGCACTATATTTTTACCTTTACCCTTTCCTTATGTAAAGTAATATATATTTGCTATATCTTTCCTCTAGCGTCGGATGTTTCTACGCCTCACTAATATTTCTCCCTGAGGTGAATATGGTTTCTTTCGATTTGTCTACCCCACACCATTTCAAGATTATCACTCATGGTAACTGGTATTTGTAGTTAAAATTCAGTACTTATTAGAGTGATGGGCTTTAGAAAGAAACAATGGCAGTGTTCAGTGAGTTGCGTATCTCATTCAGGCTCCACATATATTAACACATATGGAGGAGGCTAAGCAAACACATACCAAAAAGAACGAATTCTGGCTCTGTTCAAGCCTTATAAGGTTAAAAAAAAATTCACTTTTTAGCGTTCTGCCCTTGTCTTTGTATATATCCTCTTTCGTTAATGTTTATCGATTGATCTAAAGCCTGCGGTGTGTACACTTGCAACTCTAAGCATACTGATATAAATTACAGAAAAAATAATACTAATACATAAAACTAGTCACAAATTGAAGAGACATATACACAAAAGAAAAAGATGGTGGTGGTACATAGTGTTGGAAATGGTGTGGAGCTGTGCTCATGCCCGATACAATACCAGCGAGGAGAGGAAATAACTTCCCGTCGCTTGCCACTACCACCCTCAGAAAACGGTACGACGCATGACCAGTCTAGCGAAGATCTTAAAATGAACGTTGCAGCCGTGCAGAATATCTCGACCGGAGCCAGTGTGGCTCTAAACACGAAACTAAATACTCACACATTTGGCAGGGAGGGCATGATTGCGAACGATGAGACCAATGCCCGAACGTATGCCACTTCATGTAAAGTCATTCAAAGCCGCATCGAGAAGGCCTCATTTTCTATGACGCATCTCAAAGCACCGGATCACCTCTATCGTCATACCTCGGCCTTTTGCCCTGTGGATGTCACTTCTGCAAGGAAACCAACCAAGCCCCCTGCGCTTTATTTGATGGAATTAAATCAGAAGGGCGCGTCGGAGAACACGGACGAGAACCCCCCTACTGGAGTGACGCAGGTGCGCACGCGGCGAGTCTTTGTTCAAAAAGAGATTGCCTCGGTAGTGGCAACAGCAGAACAATCCAATTCGTTTAACCGCTCCATGGCAGACAGCATGGCTCTCTCGACAACGCTTTGCCGATCTGACAACTGCATCAGTAATGAGGGTGTCAACGCTGCTGTTCAGACTCCCTGTTCGCCATCTTTAGTAAACAAAGATATGAAAATTTCTGAAGCAGCCACTGGCAGGGACGCGACGACTGTGATTACAGCAGAAGACGAGAACTTCAAGGCTGATAGAGGCGAAAATATCAACCATGGGGTCGCGAATGGTGAACTCAAAGTCAGTAATCCATCTGTCATTAAGCACGATCACGTCGATCTGATCGACATCAAGGCAACAAGGTCCTCACGGGGAATTTCTGCATATCTTTTAGCTCAGCGGAATCAGTCGGGATCGGTGACTCCGTCCTCCGCGATTCCTTCTGGCAGACGCAAACAATCGATGCTGGCTCCTATCCCCCATTACTCCATGCGGCATCGTGCAGCTTTAAGCAACTTCCTCTCCAACGCTACGAAACGGAGGTCTACAGTGATGCCTCCGGCAACGGAGGATACAACGATTGGGGATCCGAAAGTCCAGGAGTCCGCAGTACACCAGGAAACCCCAGACACCGGGAAGGATGCCAAACGCCCCTCAAAGCTTTCGGCTTTTAAACTGAACTCCATCCCACACATGTCAAATCTTGAGAAACCGGATTCCCAAAGGGTACAGTACCCGATCACAGCCCATCAAATGGCGATGTCGAAGCGCGGCCTACAGCCACGCAAGACTATGGTGGTGTTCTTGAGCAAATACCCGGTTGTTCGAACGGTCGGGAAAGAGATGGATTTTACCGTGCAGGAAACCGAGAACGAGTTCAACGAATTTCGGTTTAACCTGTGCTGGAGTGATACAGTTCTGAGCCTGTCACGTCTCGTGCGGCTGGGCAACTGGCAGCGTTCGAACCATTTTCCGTCGATGTTTTTGTTATGTCAGAAGTCGCACCTCAGCACGACGCTTGGTCGCATGAAGCGCAAATTACCAAACTACTTCCATTTCGTCCCCAACACCTGGTCCCTCGCGACGGAGCGGTTCAGCTTTCAGCAATATTTCAACGACCTCAAGCAACGGGGGGTGTCGAGGTACTTCATCGTCAAACCTAGTGTTGGTTCTCAAGGTCGCGGTATTATCGTCACTAATGACCCCTTGAGTGAGCTGGAAAACACAACGAACTGCGTCGTGCAGGAATACATTCACCGTCCCTTGCTCTTCGAAGGAAGAAAGTTCGATCTGCGTGTGTATGTGCTGCTCATAGGCATTCGAGAGCCCTCTATTTTTATGTTCAATGATGGTCTGGTACGCATATGCACAGAGGCGTATGAGCCACCAAATGCCGAGAACTCTAAAAACTCTTTCAAGCACCTGACGAATTACGCTATCAATAAGCGCAGCGCAAGTTATGTATTTAACACTGACGTCGATAGGGGGGATATAGGAAACAAGCGCAACTTCAAGTTTATGAACAGTTGGCTGGAAAGCGAAGGACACTCGGTAGCGAATTTCTGGGATCGTGTAGGCTGCCTTGTGGTCAAAGCAATCATGTCTGCGCAACCAAAAATTTGCCAGGTGTACGACGCCTGTTTTCCTGGCTACAATGAAGGCTACACCTGCTTTGAGGTACTGGGGTTCGATGTATTGGTGGACTACAAGCTAAAGCCGTGGCTGTTGGAGGTCAATCACACGCCATCCTTCTCCACAGACACCCCACTGGATCTAGATATCAAAGGAAGACTCCTGCGGGAGGTTTTGAGTATCGTGGACTGCAGCTCGACTGACCGTGAACAAGACCGACGCCGCGAGCGTGAGGAGTTTACTCAGCGCAATATGCCACCATGGACTAAAAACAATGCCCATCACTCTCAGTGGAACTATGCATTGAACTTACTTCGGCAGAAAGACGACGACGCAAATAACAAAAATAGGAATGCTGGGACATCCTCACCTACTGTGAGGACTATCGTTCAACATGTAGATAATGACGATCGTAGCACATCGACTCTCCACCCTGCTGGGAATCAACCTGAAAGTGATTCTGAGCTGTTTGCCGAACTTGTCAGATTGCACAGGAAGAGAGAAGACTCAAGGTTGGTGAACTTCAAGCGCATCTATCCCTCATCAAATCCCGAAATTCAGGAAATTTACGACACCATACGCAAAGTGGCAGCGGCAACCCTTAATAATCCCATCGGAACGGTCAAAACCAGCTCCTCGCCTCGCTCTCATGGGGTATCACAGTCACCTAAGGCCGTCCACTCGACGTCGCTGAATATACAACACTCGTACGACTTACAACGTCCTTTACAGAATTCGAAGGAAGGCGAGAAGGGACCTCACCACACTCTCCCCGACTGTGATTCGGCCCCCCAAGTCACCGCCAACCGCACATCCACCACGTTCCTAGATACTCCACCACATCTCCAGAAAGTTATGCTGAATACTAAACTATCCGAACAACCAACAAAGAGCAATATTCTCACAGAAACCCCCAAGACAAGCCAACAGTCGCCATCCCAGCTCAGTGAAAAACCGCCTGCGAGCGAGGCTGAACCAATCAAAGCCGATAATGAATGTATAAGCAAAATCGATCCCCTTGGTTTATCCAATGGTGATATCCCTACCCTCCGCCCTACGACCTCCATGATTGCAAATGGTGATACCCCGCAGGGTTCCCATCCAGCCTCAGCGAAGACGGACGGCACGGCGGAAATCGATGAGGTCGAACCGACACCGACGTCTCATCCAAACGACGCCCTCCGCCCCGTATCCCTCGAACCCCAACCGGTATCGAATGAAACGGCGTCGGTGCTAAACAACGATGCATCCCCGGCTCTGGAGGCCTCGGATTTGCTAAGTTCACGGGTTGGAAGCCCATGCCCTTTGGTTGACGAGGTGCATGTCAGTGAGCCGGCAGCCTTGCAAAGCAGCACCAGGCAATCCCTTTCCGTGAAGCAGCCCAGCAACGAAAAGTCTCCAAGGCACGTCACAGAGCGGGAGCCGAACGCGGAGGAGCTGTGCAGCTTCCAAGCTCTTCAGCGGCAAGTGAATGTAGGTGATCAAAAGGATCCTACCGAATGCGAGAGCTTTGATCTGAGCGATTGAGAATGCATATAGGTATATATTTATATATATCTATGCTTTTCGGTAATAAAATAAAACTAGACTCTAAACAACAGTGCATATTTGAATGAATCGTGAAGAGAATTAGCTGTTTTACTTTTTGTTGTACCTTTTATTGTTATTCTATGTGTATGCGTGTATGTCTATATATATAGACATATATATATATTTGGTCCTCCTAAGGACACGGGGTAAATTTAAAGTGTGTATTCCTGAAATAATGCTCACACCTTAATAATTCGCAGATATTATCAAATTGCACTTATGCTATAACTTAAAACAATGCCAATGAGTGAAACGAGAACCCAAACGACTGTAAGTGTGTCGTTAGGAAAGGTAGCATGTGCACCGATGGAACAGGGGTGACATGTTTCGAGTGTTTTTGCTTCCTAGATATTTATATGCCCTCATTTATAGTCAAAAATAACATGTAACTGAAATGTGAGAGTAAGGAAGATTGGTTCAAAAACGTAGCTAAACTATTTGTGAAAGAAAAATATTTTGTTTAGTTTTTTTCTTCAATTTTCTTCACTTACACATCATTGGCCTTGTCCTTTGTAGACGTTGTACTTATAAAAATATGTCAGCAGCAATGGCTATGTTATAATATGTACGTACCCGTTGCTCAGCTTATTTCAGATTGTATTACATAATTATCCAATGTGGGCTTGCTTGTTGGTGCTAAAATAGAGACAATTTTGTTATTTGCCGGTTTTAGTGATTCACACAGGGTTCACTTCTTATCTTTGGTTTCCCTTTCTCGTCTATCTGCCAATTTTTTGTTCATATGAAAGAAAGAAGGCATCATATCTACACATATAGATAGATATATAGTGTCAAGCATTCCTTTTTATCTCATTCACAAAGGGTATATATATATATATATAAAGCTAACGAGATGCCACCAAAGCGCCGCATCGACGCCCCCACCGTCTCCTCCAGCTTAAAGCAGAGGAACGTAAACTCGGCGCGATCCGCGCCGGCGATCGAAAGCGCCCGTCGACCAGCCACACGAAGTCTCTCCGCCACGCGAACTCCTCGGATGGTGGAAGGAAAAGGGAGCGACGCGACGAAGGATGGGGCCACCCCTCCGGCCCCGGAAACGCCGTCGAGTGAGCTTCATCGGCCGCAACACTCGCGTTCAGCTTCTGTGGTGCCCTCCTCCGCGCGTCGCACGCCCGTTTCCCCACGCACGCAGCGCTCGCAGACGCCACGGAAGGCGATGCAGATGTCGCGCACCCCGATAGATACTTTGCCCTCCGAAAAGAGCGCCGAGCACGCCCCTGAGGAAGTAAAAGGAGAGACTGGTCGGCCGTCGAGGGAGCTGGTTTTCGACCAGGCTCTCGAGATGAGCACGGCGGACCTTTCCATGGCAGGTGGGAGCACGGAGGGTGGGGCGCTCAGTTCGGAACTCAACTCTCCTGCCGAGGAACATCTGGAGGACAAGGCTCACTTCATGGAGCGCGATCGCGACGCGAACGGTGAGGGGGATGAAGAATTTCAGACCAACGTTGATCTCGTGGATGAGATTATCTGGAGTGATGCTGACGACGACGTGGAATTTCCTAGCCCCGAAGATCTACGCGAGCCGAAGGATGACGACGAGATCATCCGTTTAGGCACCATCCAACAGCTAGAGGAGACTGATAGCAGCGAGGATGAGGCAACCCTTAATCGTGTGGGCGACATTCCGCTTGTGTGGTACAAAGATGAGGATCACATCGGTTACGACATAGAGGGTAAAAAGTTGATGAAAAGTGAACGCTCCGCCCTGGAGCGTCTCCTGGAGGCCACCGATGATCCCAATGCGATGCGCACCATCCACGACGTCCTGCATGATGAGAAGAAGGTCCTGACGAACGCCGACCTGCAGATGATCTTCAACCTGCAGCGCAATCGCACGACGAATTCGAATTACGACATGTACAGTGAAGTCCAGGAGGATACGGTGGAGTTCGACCCGCTGAATCACCCGCTTGCCCGCAACACAGGGCCCTCCAAGATGAAGTTTGTACCCGCCTTGCACGATATGAAGGTGATCGCGAAGATGGTGCGTCGTATGCGCAAGGAGGACGAGGAGCGGAAGCTCCACAAGAAAGCCCCCTCCGACGACGACGACGACGAGGAGAAGCCGTTGTGGGAGGATGGCAAGGTCGTGCAGATGGACACCCACACCCACTTTAAGTACTACAACCGGATCGAAAAGCCACGGGTGGCGCCTCCAGGCACCTATGAAAGCTACCGCCCCCCACCGGAGTACCTCCCGAGTGAAAAAGCGAAGCAACGTCAGGCGCGACTCCGCGCGATCGACCGGAAAGAGCACTTCCTCCCCCAATCCTTTGACGCGCTCCGCCACGTTCCGTTTTATCATCATACGATCCAAGATCGTTACCAGCGCTGTATGGATCTCGCGTTCTTCCCTCGCGCGCAGCGAACGCGGCTTGCGGTGGATCCGAATCAACTGCTTCCCGAGCTGCCCGATCCACGAGAGCTTCGACCCTACCCCGAGCGGCTTTCCTTTCAGTATAAAGGCCATACGGCGACCGTGCGAAGTGTGGCGGTCGGCCCGAGTGGGCAATACCTCGCCACGGGCTGTGATGATCACCTCGTTCGCATCTATGAGGTCCACACGGGGCGGTTGATGAAACGGTACGACCTTGGCGCCCCGATCCAACAGGTGGAGTTTTGCCCGGTGAAATCGCTTAACCTCCTCGCGGTGGCGGTGGAGTACAGCCTTGTGTTCATCATCCCCAGTTTCGCCGCGCATGAGATGGTGAATGAGCACACCGTGCGTTACCTTCGCGCCCCTGGGCATGCAGCTGGAGTGGAGGGAGAGGCGTTTGTGGTGGGGGGTGCCGAAACCCTCGGGGGGCGCGGGATTACCCAAAGCGCTATCGACAACGACGAGGTCGCCCACGAAGCCACCGAAGACCTGCATGATATCGAGGAGAAGGAAAAGCGAGCCGAGTTCTTGAACGCGTCGGCGAAGGAGCGGCAGGCGGGGATTGTCGTGAAGGTGGCGATGCACGCGCGGATTAAAAAGTTCACCTTCCACGCCCGAGGCGACTACCTTTGTGTGCTCTGTCCAAAGGATCACGTCAAGTATCGCCAGACCATTATGCTGCAGCTAAGCAAACGTAAAGTGTTCTGCCCTTTCCGCAAATTCGCAGAGGTGGTCACGGACTGCCGCTTCCATCCCCTCGAGCCGATCTTCTTTCTCTCCACCACGAACTCCGTCCGTTGCTATAATCTGATCGCGCATAAGCTTCAGCGCCGCTATAAGGCTCCTGGAGGCATCACGACCAGTCTATCCATCCACCCGGAGGGGGATAATTTCCTGGTAGGCGATACCACCAGCCACGTATCCTGGTACGACTGCGACTTTTCCGATAAGCCGTACAAGCGTATGCGCTCGCACAAAGGGGTTGTCAACTCTGTTGCCTTCCATCCGAATACGAAAGCCTACCCACTCTTCGCTTCCGGGGCATCCGACGGCCAGGTGCACGTCTTCCACGGCATGGTCTACGACGACTACAATAAGAATGCGCTGGTCGTCCCTGTTAAAATTCTAAACCACCGTCGGCCGGTTTACTCGGTAGCGTGGCATCCTACGCTGCCTTGGGTCTTTACGTCTACCGAGGACGGCATCGTCTCGGCATGGACGGAGTGAGCTCTAAAGAGCAAGTGGTCGGAAGAAGCGTATCGTTGGTAACAGGATGGCAGATGCACACGCAAAAAGAAAATGAAGAAACTCGCCGCGCATCTTCCACGGTATCACGTATCTCAGATGTGAGATACAGGAAGCTGTAGGACTACAATGTCAGGCACTTGTGAAGAAAAAGGCCTCGAGGCTGGAACCAGGGAAGAAGCGGGGTTTCACGAAGGTATCACGTTCGAATAAGTATCATTGCCAATGGCGGGAGAGGGTAGGATGCTTTTTCTTCGTTAAGTAGTTAAGGGAACGGATGTGCACAATAACATCAATAGGCGTGCATTGAGTACGCGGATATAAGCAGAAAGGTTTAAATATAAGCGTTTATAATGCGGCTAATTAAGCATAAATCAGTTCTATTTGTGTGATTCGTTTGTAAATTGAACCCTGTAGAAAAATTCGGTTCCAACACCCGAAAAAGTATGCAACTGGGACTATAAAAAGTATAGTTGAAGAGTTATTTTAACCATAATCATCCCGCACTATTTGAAAAGGTTATAGAATATATATCTGTGCAATAAAAGGTGATTATTGCCATATATATCGAAAGACTAATAATAATAAGGCATAAAAAGGGCGTCATACTCTCCTAATGAGCATACCAAAGGGAAGGGAATAGATACATTAATACAAAGGACCTCATCGATTACGCAAGTTCAAACCCCGATACTCCCCATGTCCACCGACCTTGGTAGAAGCTTTGCAGCTGTTGCCGTCTGCGGCTGTGGTCATGAGGGCCGTCTGGGGTTGAGCCAAGTGGCGAACACGGAAAATATAACCCTGCTAGGGGATTTCCTTCCCGTCGGCGAGGAGGAAAAGACGCCCGGGGTACAGTCCGCGCCGTGCGGGGAGGTGCTTCGTATCCATTGCGGAGGCTACCACACGATCGTTATCACCACCACCGGGGTCTACGGCTGGGGGATGAACGACTGTGGCCAGCTCGGCCTTGGGCGAGGGGTGGGAACGGACGCCGAAGGAACCTTCTTCGGGCATCCTACCCGATTGAAGTTTTTTGATGGAATGATATGGAATTCAAAGCACCAAGAGGAATCCCACGAAGAAGCGGGATCCATGGTGAAAAAGGAATCAGGGGAACAGGAATACATTGTTCAAATTGCGTGTGGCGCGCTGCACTCAATGGCCTTGACGAACCGTGCCTTGTATGCGTGCGGAAAGAACGAGTTCGGCCAGTTAGGCCTCGGACACGACGAGGAAAACGTGAGTGAGTGGACTCGAGTCTGCTCTCACGGATGTGGCGATGTTTCTGCTCGCTGTAATGGAGTCAGCCTGGATAATGACATGAGTCTGATTATGCCCTTCGGTACGGACTCTTCCATCATTAGGGGTGTCATCACGAATGTGAGCTGCGGCACGCACCACACGCTACTCGCTTGGCGCGATGTGCTGCTTACACGACGTCATGACGGCGCGGGAGTGGACGAAGCACATGACGTGAGCTCGACGCAGAGGATATGGCATGATAATGACCATGCATTACGCGGTTATTTCTATCACCCAACTCTTATAATGGCTGCCGGGAAGGGTGACTACGGGGAACTGGGCTACGACGAGGATCTACATGCTGCCTTGCGTTCCAGAGATAAACGGGTACAAGGTGCCTTGTGGAGAGAAGCCCTTGTACGGGAAGAACAGTTCCAAGGGTGTGATGTACAAGGTGAATATTTGAAGCCGGATGCCAATGGAAGTGGCTATTCTGAGCCCACACACATGCAGAAGAAGATGTTTAATAAAAATCCATGTGCAGGTTGGATACGGAAGCAGAAGCAACAACAGCGGCGACCGGAGTTTTACTCGGCAAATTTCAAGGCCGTAAACTTTGAACTCTTGAAAAGGTGTGCGGTGGCTTTACCAACAGCGCTATCCCCTCAAAACGGCATGGCCACCCCCGACACTGTCTTCGATGGGGGCAACCCGAGCAATCGTTTCCGGGGTGTCAACATGCCTTCGGAGTACTGGGAAGTCGTACAGCTGCAGGCGATGCACCTCCATTCTAGTGCGACGTTAAGGAAGTGTGTTACTCCTACAGAGACTGGGGATCGCAGCGCGGATGGCCAGCATCCCGACACCGAGGATATGCAAACCTATCACTGGGGATGCTATTTTTGCGGAGAAATTGAGGGAAACGAAACTTCCGTGCCGCGACTGCTCGACGGAAAAGCGGGCACGACGATTCATGCAGGGTCAGAGATACTGTTTCGGCATCGCCTATCGGAATCCATAGGCTCACCATGTTCAGTTGAAAAGCGTGGGTCTATGGAGGATGCCCCTCCAGGGCACTTGAGCGCGCGTGAAGAGGTGTTCGTATTGGGGCAGGGCACAATCGGTCTAGGTTCCGATGACAGCTTTCAGAAAATCTGGGCACCGATCCCGGGGACGATGCACGTGGCGGCGAAAATTGTCGGGCGTACGCACTTCTTAATGCTCTTGCGAGATGCCCAATTAGCTTCAGACGCGACTAATTCGTGTGGGGATCTCATACTTGGATTTGGTGATAATCTGAACGGCCAAATTGGTTGCGCGTATGACCTCCAAAATGGCAAAGGTGGTCCTCAAAGCTGTTACTCAGGTAATGGTGCCAGGAAGGATAGCGTGGAAGTGCTTTCTCCGAGGCACGTGCTGGGGGTTGGTGATGTTCTGTTAGCAGCACCCACAACATCATTATCCGAGCAACTGAAACAAGACTGTCAGCCGAGGGGTCGCGAAAACGTGAATCAGCGTGCACACGCGGATTATGGGCCTTCTGTGTGGGTGGTTGACCAAATCATTGATGTTGGCGCTGGAGTTCGGCATTCCATAGTTTTGGTAAATGTTCATTTAGAAAAAAAAAAGCTCACAGACACATGAAAAAGGGCACAAAAGAAAACACAAATGGAAAATAACAGCAAATTGATAAGTCGATCAAAAGACAATGTATTTTCAGTTTTTCCGAAACATTAACTCCAGATCATTTTCGTCTCTGCGCACGCATTACTCGCATCATGAATTACCGGGCGAATAGTCTCCAAAACTTCTCTCCATGCCAATAGGGATGAGAAGTAGCAATTTCACAAGTACTCCGAGGATGCAATAAATAGCAGGTTAAAATTTTTTATAGGTGGGCTACCTGAGTGTTGGCAATGAATTCATTACCTATTCGAACCGTCACTTACAATATCATGATAGTTGTCACTACTTCCTTCAACACTGTCTACTCATTCTACGCATGCGTGCACCAATATAATAGTCAAAGAGAAAAGGCAAGGTGTGTTAAAATGAGGTTTCGGGAGCTCCAGAGACATTTAACATTAGTTTTTTCGGCTGGTTATGCTGAATTGGGCCCTCCCCAGCGGGCAGCATGCCGTTCGATGGCAGCATGTATTCGATTCGATGGAATCCTCCGCCGAGCAGCAAATATGAAAACCTTATGTTTGTATCGAAAGTTGAATCATGCGATAGGTTCAGGGATGGACTCCGGCTCCTGGCCTGCGATCGCGTTGCTTACGACAAGAAAAGGCATCTGCATGTCCTCACCCCTTTATCAGGGACTTTCCAAGCCCGATAGTGAGCCGAGCCCTTCGGCGTCCACCCATAGCCCCAAAGGAGACGTCGAAGTCGCCCTCGAGTTGATTGCGGAGCTCACCCGCATCCTCGCGCGGTTCCCGGAGTCTACCTGGCTCCCCATCAGCAATCTTTACAACGAGCTACCTACGAAGATGCGGCGGGAGTACGTCCGGCCCCACCGTAGTCTATTCCAAGTCCTGCTGAAATCCCAGTCAGTCCTTGGGATTCACCTGGACCCCTCAGGGATCTACTGCGCCCGAGGGGAAGCGCCGGCGGAACCGTCCAAAACGTCACCGGAGCCCATCCCCGTCCGGGAAAACCCCGCGCCACGAAAGGAGGCCCGGGCAAGCACCCCACCGCGCACGGAAACCCGCGCGGCGTCGCCTCCAGCGCCTTCGCCGCCGCCTTCTCCATCCCCTTCCGTTCCTTCCGTTTCCCCTTCTTCCAGCTCGTTAGGGCCGGCACCGGTGGATTTCTACTACGATGTCGGCCTCACGACGATCCCGCCACCGCCGGCGGATTTTGACGTGACGCCGTCCTCCCTGCCCGTCCCGCAGGCGACCGCGGACGGGACGGTGCTCTCCCTACGCGATTTCGTCCCCTTCATCCCGCCCTTTTTCGTTCCCCTTGACGAGGTGCTCGCGCAGATGACGGGGTACACCGAGCAGCACATCCTCAACTTCTTCAACGCGAAGGCGATGGAGATGGTGCAGATCGCCGGCCAACGGTTCATCCGGCTCTACGGCGGCTACGCAAATATCTCCCTCGAGGGCTGCGAGGATGCGGAGGAGACCTTCCAGATGTATAAGCCCCGGACGGATCTCCTTCCCGCCTTCGTGAAGGCATTCGAGGGGATTCAGGAGAAGTGGATGCCGCTCACCGTGCTGCTGAAGAGGGCCGACCCGGAAGCTGTCGCGCAGCTAAACCCGAAGGGCCCCGCCTCGATCATCTACTTTGCCCAGATGCAGCATGTCTTTGGGTTTTCCGTCGTAAGTAGTCAGGGCGGCGACGCCGAGGACGAATCTTCGTCCCCTTCATCGTCGGTGCTGCTGCGGAAGCAACCCTACACCGGTCTTACATGCGAAACGACGCCGACGCCGAAGAGTGTGAATTTTATTCTCCAACGCGTACCTATTGAAGGGATTGTCGATGTTCACATGATACAGGGCCAACTCACTCCTTCTATACGAGAAGAAATTGATACATACTACGGCGATATCTTTGGCTTCTTCAAGGCCCACGCCACGGTTTTCTTTCTTACGGAAGATCACACCGTGGTGATGCGAACGAGGTACCGCAACCGCATGCAGGTCGCCTCCCTCCCACTTGAGGAGCAACTCCGAATTGCCCTGGAGAATCGAGACAAGCGAAAGGCACGGGCCATTCGCAGGCGCATCGCGTTTCGCGACAACCCCTCGCACCCATTTCACGACCCCGACAACTTAGCTCGCGAGGTGGCCAAGTACTTGCCGCACCACGGCTTCGTCTCACTGAAAATGTTCCTGCGTACAAATATCCCGGAGGAGGTGCTCTATTTCATGCCTGCCAAGATAAACAACTTCTTCGCAAATTATCCGCAGTATTTCCAACGTTTCGAGTATCAGACCGCTGGCACGTGGTGCATCTGCCGCCCAGGGAACCCATTGCCTCGTGGGGTCATTCGCCAGCATTTTTCAGAGGATGATCTTCTGCGGCTCATTGCAGAATTTCTGCAACGCTGTGGTGGACCGAGGGCCTGCGCGAATATCTATCTGAATATTCCACATGGTGCACAAGAGGTCCTCCGAAAGCGGTACGGTGGTTTATATTACTTTGTCGAGAAGTACCCACAGTACTTCAGTATCGTCCTTGGCTTAGATACAGGCAACATGAAAAGTGGTGCGGTGGTGCATCTGATCTCGCTCCCCAATACTTTAAAAGGTCAGAGAGAGAAGGGCACAGCTGGAGAATCTGGAGATGGGCTAAGTGATGATGATGGGGAGCATGCTTGCCATACGGGTCAGGGAAACGACGTGGAGGAGGATTTCGACTGCGATCACTGAAAACCTTCGTTTTGATAAAATGTTTCGTAAGTTATGGGTGTGCTACTCTTTGTCTTCGATAGAAATGCTGGTTAAAATGAAAATGGCAATACCTGTGGCCTCAGAGTTTCTAAAAAGAAAAAACTGCCTAAACTGCATACACAAAGAACGAGGGATTCACATTCAGCATGTGAGGAATGAGTTCTCGCTCATCAGATAATTTAGTTATAACTGTTGCATTCATTCAGTTTATTCCTATTTAAGTTGTACCTATACAAGTCATATATACATTTGAATTACGTATAGGTTGATAACGCTCGGGCTGAAGGAAAGACGGTAAGGTGTGTGTTCGTATGCACCCAGTGTCACTATAGAATAGAGCATAGCACCATATTCCAAAAGGGATTGTGACTCCTAGTACTTCATGCAGCTGGACCTTAGTCGGCGCACCTTAGATACATTCGATGTTGGCGAGTATCTGGTTGCGCACGCTGCCGCCAACCACTCCAAGGATGCTCCGTACCCCCTGACAGTGATGCAAATCACGCATCTTGACCTATCCTTTAACATGTTGCATGTTGTCTCTGGTTTTGGTGATCTGTCTCATCTCAGAGTCCTGAATTTATCACACAACGTCTTGTCCTCGCTCGAAGGTGAGCTGCCACCGAGACTTTCGAATTTGAACGTATCGTACAATAAAATATCGTGTCTGGAGCCCGGGGCCTTACAACCGTTACGGAAGCTACAGGTATTCGATATCTCTTTTAATTGTTTAACCAACCTCCGCGGCTTACCGACCACACCTGACACATTACGAGTTTTGAATGCCTGCGGTAACCAATTAGAAACCCTCAGAGGCATAGAGCGATGTGTTGCCTTAGAAGAGCTATATGCTAATAAAAATGCTCTAAAGGAAGCAACTGAGCTATCCACACTCGCAAGCCTTACGCATTTGCGTGTTCTCACACTTTCAGAGAACCCGATCATGCTGTTTCCACCGCAATTGCAAGCTATTCACGCGTTTCTGCCACACGATTTAGAGCAGACGGACATTCCACACATCAGTGTGGTGCAAAGTACCAATGCCTCGCCTCGATTAGCGACAACTACAGTAGCTGTTGTAATGCGCCAAGGTGATGAGGTAGTCAGAAACAATGAACCCAGTGAGGACGCCGAGACGTTGGCATCTATACCCAGTTCAGGACAAGTGGTTCAGCCGCAAACTTCGTATAACGCCCAACAACGCACCCAGCTCTATTCGTCGCAGAAGACACTGCAGCGGCTGCACGAAGTCGATGCTGATGAGGTTCATACAAATAGTGCCTTCAGGACCTCGGTGGGCTTAGCCTCTCGGTCTTGTTCTCAAGAAGGTGTTAGTGAAACCCAACGTGGCTTTCAAAGCCCAAACACAACGCAGGAAAAGGTGGCCCGAGAAGCACATCAGAACACGCGGGGGTCGCAGCCTGTGGGAGCAGCATGGCAGTTGGTTTACAAACGGGTGATGGCTGAGCGCGACGCTTCACGACAGCAGGTTGAAACTATGCAAAAGGAGATCCATAATCTCAAGCAGCTCCTCAACGAACAGCGCGAAGCCACAGATACTGTACTAAGGATTAACGAGCAGTTAAAGAAGCGTGTATTGCATACCCTGGCAAAGGGAGAGCGCCGTGAGGTGGCGACACAGTGTAACACCATCCCCAAGGTTGGCTTGGACTCGAATGCCGAGGGAACCGATTATGCAAAAAGGCTGGACGTGAATCCCCAAAAGCGCAACCACGCCGCGTCGCCACGCCTCACGCCGCCACGCACCGCGACGACGGTGGCCACGATGAGCCGCTCACCCCCGCGCATTCCACCCCTTGCGCCCCGACTCCTCCCAGGGGTGTCGCCGCTAGGGGGAAAGTCGCCCGAAGGGGATTCCACGAGCCGCTCGATTCCCCGGCCTCACCCGGGCAGATGTTCGCAGCAGCCACGTTCCCAGTCTGTTCCGGTGTCCTCCTTTAAATCACCCTCCTTGAGGTCACCCTTGAGGCACAAGGAAACGGCAGGGATGATACGAGAACATTGCGAACCCCAGGAGGCCCTGGGCCAACACGGGAAGCCGGATGACGTGGAAGTGACCCGTGAAGGATCGAGCGGGGAGCCCCCACGGGACACACGGAAGGTGGCCACCGTACTCATGTCCCTGCTGCGTCAGCCAGGTCCCCGTTCGGCGGAATTTCTTTTGTGACAGACGGTTTGTAGGGATAGCCCCCCCTTGCTCCTCCCTTATACTTTGGTATGGGTCATTCTCCGTGTGTGCCTGTGTTCCCCTTCTCAAGGGGAGATTCATCAGGGCTAAGATAGGGAGTCCTTCTTGGGGAGACGAAGCCAGCGGCTCCTTTCGGCATGATTGCTGCCTCATAAAGTGTTCGCATATGGACGTGATGGGTGCTCTTTAGTTCATATTCCACAAAGGGTCATAGTCTCAAGATGTTTTGCCCAATATTTCCTCTGATTCATATCTTGTCTGAAAGGGCATCGCCAAAAAATGAAAAGCATAAAATTGTAACTTCAACGGTCAACAAGAAAAAATAGAACATAATCACATACACGGATTTTATCAAATCCATAATATTATATTACCCTATAGAGCTACGTATACAAATTCACATATATAAAAAAACAGCAACAACTTTTACATCTGCAAAAGCTTCTTGAACGAGGACGAGAAGGGGAAACACAACGCAAATTTAAAAGATGCTTCGTGTTTTCAGATTGCTTCGTATTTCTCTCCCCTTTGAACCCATGGCACTGACGACACTGGATAGTCTGCATTCTCGTCTTGGGTCCCTAAAGTTGCAGAGCGAAAATGGAAGAGTTCCAAAGGCCCATCGGATAACCTTGCAGGAGGGGGAAGTGGCCATCCATCACCACTTGCACGACTCGCCGAACTGGTTCCAGAGTTCGTTACCCTTCTTCATTTCACCAAAGCACGATGGAGTGCGTATGATTACCTTCCCACCTGAACTTTCCAGCACCCACAACCACCACATTGATAGGCTTGGTCAGGCGAAAACTTCAAAATCTGCATCAAAGTCCACAGACAAGCCATACATCGCAGAAACGACATGCTTTTCGCGTTACGGGAGGCCAATTCACGGCATGTTCTGGATCGAACACGAGCTAGCGTTGTTGAAGGCGTTGTGTCGGGATCCGATGTTGGTACTGGATGGTGAGTTGTACATTCACCAAAGCGTCCCTGATAAGGGAAAAAGTGACGATACCGATGAATCGGTGTCGCCAGCAGACGAGAGTTTTCCTAAAAGAGGCTCGCTCAAGGCACAAGGGGAAGGTAAAGACGGCGTCTCCTTAATTGACGAATGCAAATCTACGGAGGTGGAACCGGCTTCGGCTTCACTGACGCGGGAGAGTGATTCCTTCAAGACGGGTTTTTTGGCGGTCTCGGCACTGGTGCATCGGCTCCGCGGGTCAGGCAAAAACAGTCCTTCTCGTAGTGGCATAAGCTCCATCGGATCGATCTCAGATCGTTTGGCAGAGGTGCTTCAATACGTCAACACACTGCCACGGTATTTCCTCTTCGACGTCGTTTCCTTCAGTCCGCCCCAGGAATCAGCAGGGGTTCATAGTGGTAGGGAAAGCGAACAGAAATTTCAGGGTAGACGTTCGAGAAAAGGTGCCGCTGTTAGACAGATTTCTAGCGAATTGGAGCGTATCCTCCAGCTCACGATGAAGGCGCATCACGTGACGGATCTAGAAATGCTCCGGTGTGTCCCGAACCTAACACCGTTCTCCCAGCGCCTGCGCACGCTCTACTTTTTGACAGACCTGCTTTCCCGCGGTGTAAACTCACCAACGCTCCAAAAAGCCTTTAGCTTGACGAACCTCACTTCAGATGAGGGGACTGCTAGTAGCTGCTGCAAAACCGCCAAAAAAAGCAAAGCAAGGAAAAAACGCACTGATGGCGGCGATCCCCGCAGCTCTGGAGAGGTCCCGTATATCCAAATGATCCCATACCGTCTGGTTCGATCACTGGAAGAGGCAGAGCACTCCTTGTTGCCGAGCTACGTAGCGCAAGGCTACGAGGGCGCGGTGATTCGAACACCGACAAACTTATACGAATTTCGTGAGAAGCGCAAAGACGTGCTGCGGCGCTTCGTCGAACCGTTAATGTTGCAAAGACCTATGAATTGCAAACGGGTGCAGCTGCGACGACGGGCCCCTTCCGTCGACGTAGATTCGCCTCCTTTGAAGCGGACCGCCTCGGTCCATCAGGATATCGTGAACACACAACGCATGGTACTACTGCGCACGTATGCAGGCGATGAAGTGAACAAAGGATGCCGCCGCACGACCGGTCGTTCGGATAGACTGGAAAAGGGAATACACGAAGACAGGGGAGATGACGAATCAGCTGCCGCGAACGCCACTGAAAACGATATTGTTGCTAGCTCGAAGCAGATCGCGCAGCGTGCACTCGAGCACTCCAAGAACCTTCCGCGGCGCTGCGAAACGTGTGTAAAACTTTTACCTTTTCGCGACAAAGAGTACGCGGTATTGCGACCGCTCTTGAAGGTTCCCTCAACAAACCCACGTGCGCGGCCGTTGGTGGCGATACCGATTAAAGAAGTCGAGTCGCGGAAAGGTCGTGAAGGCATACCCATCAAAAGGAACACGTGTAAAAAGCAAAAGGATGCTTCTAAGAATGAGTCCCCTCAACGCGATTGTACCGATGACGAAGGAATGGTGGTATTTTATGGGCTTCAATGCCTGGCTGAGAACGGTCGTGTGTTTAACGTGTCCATCCCAAAGATGTCAGCGGAGAAGCAGCGCGCACTCCTTCAGCATCTCCTGGAAGTCTCTCAGAAGAGGCAAGGCAAGAAAACGCTTACAGGTATGTACGTCACCGTGAAGTTCGCATCACTTACAGAGCACGGGGTCCCCCGCTTCGGCACCGTCAAGGCCATCCGTGGCGGCAAGGGTTGGTTTCTATGAGTGTTTATTTATAGATAAAGGTATTATAGATGTATTTGAAGGAGGAGAGGAATATCGTGTCTGAAGCAAGAGAAGGCTAAGGAGGGAGTGAAATGTACACGCTTATAAAAGCTTGATGGGTGCTCTTGCGTAGACTCATACTTGCTGTTTATCTTATATCTTCTTACCTGTAAAAAATAATATTCTGGAAGAGAGAAAGAGAAGGGAAAATAGTAAAGAATAATAAAGCTTTGAATTAAGCTTCACTTTCGATAATATTCTTTCTTTTGTCCTTTTTAAGTGATTCAAGGAAGAATTGCCGATGTTGCCAAGTCATGACAGCTCAAGACCCACTACAGCCAGCTCTTCGCGACATGTGAGCAACGGCAACTCTGTATCTTCGAGCAATATGTCAATCAAGGCGTGGTTTCAACCTCGTCTGCTCGACACGACGATGCAGTTGCTGCATTACCAGCCTGTGGAACCCGCTCGTGTTCTTGCAAACCGCTTTTATAATGAATACGTTCTCCTAACTGCTACAGACGCATTGGCAAGTCATAAAAAAACGGATAAGCCAAAAAAGACTAAGGATGCTTCCGTGGCCGTCACCACGGCGCGGGGCGCGGGACCCACGTCACACCCCCCTACCTCTAGGACCAATGGAATCGATGAAAGCCAGGAGTGGGGTAAGACAATCACTGATACCCTCATACCCTATGGGGTGGAAGCTTTATCGTCCTATTTCATGCCCCAGCCTAGTCAGCAGGCATCTAACAAGGTAAGGAACATGTTAGCGACTATTATTGCCTTGCTTCACCAGCAAGGCCGACACTACATCCACGGAAAGGCTGCATTGAGGAAGGAGCCCTTGCAATTTTTCCATGTGACCCCGTTATGCCACGAAGCGGTTGACGAGCTTCCACTTGCGTTAATGGTACGCTACATGATAGCGCTGATCGATCAGGAACTACGTAATATAGCCCCCAGGATGACCGATAAGCTGACCCTCATAATTTTGCTTACGATGTTGCGAGCGCTAAGTCTGCAGCAGTCCTCCACCTCCCAGCTGGACGATTGGTCAGAAGAGGGTGAAGAGCTTGTGGGGGGGCCAAAAAGCGAGACTGACCCGTTCTCATCCAGGCTTAGTTTGCTGTCCTCATCCCATATGGAGTCTCTCTCCGCATCTCTCGGGAGGGCCATTTGGCATCACCTTCCCCTCAAAGCATCGTCGGACACCGCGGCGTCGAGGATGCGGACCGATTGCACAGCCACCAGCGGGAAAGCAAGCTCCAACGCAAGCAAGGCGTCAAGCAGAATGCGCCGATCCCCCTCAAAGCCGTCTTCAGCAACAGGTGGGGAGCCCACTTCATCAGGCATAGCGAACTCCAGTCAAGACGAACTTTGTGATAAGCTGAAAACAGAAATAGAAGATTTGGTAAAAAGCAGCGCCGTGATGGTAGGCCAGGATATGGAGCTCGTCAACATCACCGTGTCCGCCCTGGTGGCGGAGCAAATGTTATGCGTAGTATCGGTTATGCTGTCAGCGGTCGCTCAGGTGGGCGTCCCTATGGTGGGGTTGCTCACATTTCACAGCCCCGCGGTCTGGACAAGAGCGCTGCAGCTACGATGCACCCGATGGTTCATCGATGGACTAGTAGAAAGTGATGGAGTCGAGGAGGGAGATCCCAATAGCACAAATAGAGTCTCACACACCGATATACCCTTTCGAAAGCTACTGCGGGACCTGGCTCTCATTGTAAAGTCCGTCACCGCACCGTCCGGTGAAGCCGCGGGTCCGACAGCGGAGTCTTGCACATGCAGCTCACTTGCAAATCTGTTGGAGAAGCGGCTGTCGGCGACGACCGAATCCGACGCAGCAGAGAAGCGTGTAGAAAGCGTGACAAATTTGTCGAGCGAAGTGTTGCTATGGGTAGCCGAACTCGTGGAAGTGTCTGTGTACGCTATTTATGGTCACGGAAAATTGAAATAATTTGTTTACAGGTATTGTTTTGATTATTCGAACCCTAAAAAAAGGTTAAAATAGATGGTAAATGTATGTGGCTTGATGACTATCAAAGGTATGGTTGCTGTTATTGCACTCTACAAAGCTTTTCCCCCTCCCCCCATCTGTTTGGTTATAGGCATTATAGGAGGAAATCTCAAGGACGACGAAGAAGCAAGTAAATAAACCAAGTACGGATCACATTGGAAAATGGGGAAGAATTCAGCCTTTGTAAAGGCTCGTATCCAAAACTTGCAGCGCCAGAGAGCCCAACGCACTCAACGCTCGAAAGTTGAGCGCAGCAAACGTCTTGCCCAGGATGATAGACGAATTCAGCACGTCGTCAAGCAGTGGGTCCTTCCTACAAAAGATGAGACAGCCATGCTGATGAACCAATTTGCACAGGCCTGTCGGCTTCCAAATGCGAGCGCCAGCCTCTGCGCCCTGATTCAGCACTACGCGGGGAGAGCCGTGGATGCTCAACCGGTCTCTCCCGAGGCTGCTGGCGCCACCGCGGGAAGTCCCGCGGCGGTTCGTTCGGGCGATATCGACTCTCTAAAACAGATGGCGGAGCTGCTACTCAATATACAGGATACCCCCATGGCTGACCTCGGCGATAGAGAGGATCAAGAGGCGGACACGCTGTCGACGGAAACGGTACTGCAGGACATCTTGAAAAACGAGTGTGGCAGTCGTGTGGTCACGATGCTTCTTTCTGCCCTCCAATGTGTGGAGGCTGGAAAGAGCGTCGCAAAGGCCATTCTTCAGCAATTCGAAGCCAATGAAGCCCTCGTGACACATCATGTGGCCTGTAAAGTCCTGACAGCGCTAGTACTGTGGGGGCCGATGGATGTCAAGTGTGGAGTCCTGGGGATACTTCGCGAGAAAAGCGCCGCCGGGAGTGGCATTGAGCTTCTGATGGATCGCCACACCGCCCCGACGATTGTGCGACTTCTTGAGCACCTGCCCATGGAAACGAGTGCGTGGCTATCTGAGGAACTTGATCTTGGAGGAGAGGGGTCGATCGACACGAACACTGCTACAGGTGCAGCAGACCGTAAGCGAACGAGAAATGAGGAGTCCCCTAAATCCGGTAAGGATGAGAGTGGTGATAGATTCCGTGGCCTCATCGAACATCCTGTCTCGTGGCGCATCCTTGCTCAGCTTGTTCTCCATATGCCTATTGAGAATCGGTTACGTTTACTCAGCATGATGAGTTTTGATGAGCTTTCCCGGACAAGGCGAGGGACTCGCTTTCTCACAACGCTCCTCAGCACAGACTCAAACAAAGAAAGCAAGATCAAAAGTTCTACATCAGCAGCTATCGCACAGATGCTGGGAACGATGGTCGAAAAGTTTGCGACTCTCTTACAGGAAATGAGCAGGAGCCCACATGGGAATTTCGTAGTGCAGAAATTAATCCAACTTATTCCCTTCGTGTGCGGCGATAACAACAAAAACGCGTTGGAGCTGCTTTCCCGTTTTGTATGCGTGCTCAACCACAATGGTGATCCTGAAGCCATGCATAGTCTTGCATCGCATTCCATTAGTGTGCACGTGGTTTGCTCGCTGATTGACACCGCCCTTTCGTTGATTAGCTCTAGTAATGGTGGTAGTGGCAACAACAAGTACCGTGTTGTGGAAGAAATCGCAAGCTTCATGACATCTCCCAGGTACGTTGCCGATACAATATGTGATCAGTACGGCAGCTTACTTGTACGCCACCTTATGCCTCTGGTGAAGCAAAAGCAATCCAATCTGGGGAAGTTGATTAACTCTACAATTTGGCAGACGATGTCTTCTTTGTTATACGATCCTATAGGAAACCTAGTGGTGCAGGAATTCTTCCGAAGCATTGGCGTTGATGAAGCATCGAAGTTTACAAGCAAACTTATGGAGGAAGAAATTCTGGCCATGTGCCAGAGCCCGTATGCTTCACACGTGCTGTTCACTTTACTAGACGTTATTAACCCCGCCACACGCGTGAAACTTTGCAGCATTCTTAAGTCCCATGTAATGTCCCTCGCCACACATGTAAACGGTCGCTTCATTGTAGAACATCTGGTTGCTGGCAGCCGTGAGGTGCGGGATGAGTTGGTGCGCCATTTCTATACTCTGGCTGGAGAAAAGGGCACCCAGCACGTGCTATGCACCCTTGTTTCTCACTTAGATCCTCGTGGCAAGGAGCACGTGATTCAAAAAATCATCGTCCCAAGGTTGTCTGAGCTTGCAATGCACCCATACGGAGGTATTGCACTCCAGAAACTAATGCAATCGGATCCTGACATTCTTGCCGCGGTAAGAAAAAGAATAGCACAAGAAAGCACACTGCGCAACGACTTAGCGCAGAATTTCTACGGGAAATTCGTGGTGCACATTGCGGAAAACTAAATCGGAAACCAAAGAACTCAAGAGAGAGGAATATTATAAGAATAATTTAAATCGGGTTTACAGAGTTGTGACTAAAGTGACAATTAATTGACGTATAAAAACTTTTTAAAAAAATATTCGAACATGGGCGTGAACATGTAATGACTTTTGTATTCTAAACCTCAACGTTTGTGATAATAATGTCAATTCAAACTAATTTCCCCATTCTTATCATGC